GGGGCAGTCGGCTGGGGAACAGACAGCCCACAGGGAAGAAGGGGCAGTGGCCCGGAAACTTCCAAGAAGTTTGGCTGTGAAAAGCCAGAGAGCGCGCGAGGATTTTTCTTGATGAAGGAAATGTGGTTGGAGAGAGGGATATTAAAAAAGGAGAGTGAAGGCTGTTTGAGCTGGTGGGTCTCTGTTCGCAGGAGCAGGGAAAGGGGTGTTTCCGATGAAACCCTTGGAACCTCCCGCAGGGATCTGCATGGAGACTTCCCAGGCTCTGTGACCTTGGGCAGCTTCAATAAGGAAATCTCTCCAGATCGAAACGGTCCTAAAGTTGCTCTGCTGGTTCCCCCACCAACAGGCCTTGCCCGGCTCTCCTCCATCACCATATCTCCAAACGTCGGGAAAATGGGCGCCAGTCAGGGGAACTTGAAACAAATGGTGTTGTCACATCTTCTATAATCAGGGCACCAAATGGCATCCATCTGATGAGAGGCATTTCTGATAGCATTTAATTGTTGATCATTATTTAGCAATATTCTAAGTTAGCTGTACGTTCAGAACTTGGTGGTAAAGATAATGACATCCAGAAATTTTTACAGATAGAACATAATGAGCCAAAGAAATTATATTTTAATTTACACATTTTTTCTTATATGGAAATATAATAGGCTGATCAAAAAGATAAAAACATAAATCATTGTGTTAGGGTAACGTGTGTGCAGGAATGGGATGGAGATAGAATCTCCAAGAAAAAGGGAAACCAAGTCAAATATTTAAATTGCTTGCTCTTGGGGGTGTGGCCTAGCAGTTAAGATGCCACTGGAGACCCCTGCATCCAATATGGAGGTGTCTGGGTTGAGTTCCATCCCGATTATAGCTTCCTGCTATTGTGCACTCCGGGGTGGGGGTGGGGGGTGGAAGAAGGTGATTCAAGTATTTGGGTCACTGCCACCCAGGGTTGGGTTCTCGCCTTAGGGCTTCAGCCTGGTCAGCCCCCCAGCCAAGGGGGGCATCTGGAGCATGAACCAGGAGATGGGAGATCTCTGTGTCTCTGCCCCTCAGATAAAGACATTTGTTAAAATATACTTCTAAATTGATGCTTCTTGAGTGCTTTTAGTAGACAATGGTAGGGGTCAAACTGCTGTGCTCTTTATGGGCATATTATAAGTCTTCAAATATAATATGGGCATATTATGAGTCTTCAAAAAGTTAATTAAAAATACATATTATGAAAACATGGGGGCTGGCGCTGTGGTGCAGTAGGTTAATCCTCTGCCTGCAGCGCCGGCATCCCATATGGGCACCAGTTCTAGTCCCTGCTGCTCCTTTTCCAATCCAGCTCTCTGCTTTGGCCTGGGAAAGCAGTGTAAGATGGCCCAAATCCTTGGGCCCCGCACCTGCTTGGGAGAATGGGAAGAAGCACCTGGCTCCAGGCTTCGGATTGGCTTAGCTCCAGCTGTTGCAGCCATTTGGGGAGTGACCCAACAGAAGAAAGACCTTTCTCTCTCTTTCTATGTCTCAATGTCTGTAACTCTACCTCTCAAATAAAAAATCTTTAAAAATCATTATGAATGGGTTTTGAACTTTTCTAACCCAAAATAAGCATCTTTCAATTCTATTTTCCACAAACATTTTGAAGTACCCTTGATTTTGAAAAGTAATACTGCAGTTTTATTTTGAAATGCAAGTTTTTATAGGAAGGTAGAAATGTCCAATTTTGCAACTCTTTAAACTTACACATAACTTTCAGATGGCAACTTTTTTTTTTTTAATTAAAGATTTTATTTCAAAGGCAAAGTTAGAGAATGCTTCCATCTTCTGGTTCACTCCTCATATGGCTGCAACAGCCAGGACTGGGCCAGACTGAAGCCAGGAGCCAGGAGTTTCCTGTAGGTTTCCCATGTGGGTGCAGGGGCCCAAGCACTTGGGCTGTCTTCCACTGGTTTCCCATTAGCAGGGAGCTGGATCAGAAGTGGAGCAACAGAGACTCAAACTGGTACCCACATGGGATGCCAGCATTACAGATGGCAGCTTTACCTGCTATGCAATGCCGGCCTCTAGAGGGCAACTTTAAAAAATGCAAGAGAGTCCTTGGTTTGTGAATATTGTTTTAGGGCTATGTGAGCAAAGCTGGTGGCCGTGGCCTTAAAGAACAAAGGCAAAGCTGAACAAATGGGAAAGGACCGGAAGGCAGGGACTACTGGCTTCTGGCTTCAGCCCACCCCAGGCTGTTGCGGGCATTTGGGGAATAAACCAGTGGAAAACATCCAAGATGAAGACCTCTCTCTCTCTCTCTCTCTCTCTCTCTCTCTCTCTCTCTCTCTCTCTCTCTCTCTCTCTCTCTCTCTAAACATTTATTTGTTTGAAAGGCAGCAACAGAAAAGGAGATAGAGGGGTTCACTCCCCAAATAGCCACAACAGCCAGGGCAGGGTGAGGCCAAAGCTAGGAACCAGGAACTCCATCTGGGTCTTCCATGTGGTGGCAGGGGCCCAAGAACTTGGGCCAATTTCTGTTGCTTTCCCAGGTGCAGGGATCAGAAGCTGAGCAGCCAGACTGAAACCAGCGCTCTCGTATGGGATGCTGGTGTCGCAAACGGTGGCTTCACCTGCTGTGTCACAACACTGGCTCCTGCCCCCCACCTTTTTTTGTTAATGTATTTGAAAGGCATAGTGACAGAAAGAGGAGACATCCCTTTTGTCATGGCAGGAGCAAAGAGAAAAGACTAGAAAATGGGGTGTTTGTGAGTGGCTGAAAGTGCCATAGAGGAATGGATGGGTTGCACTTAGTGCCATAGAGGAATGGATGGTCCACCAAGTGGGGGATCGCCCACTCAGGGTCAAGGGCAGGTAGATGAGGAGGCTGAGTTTGCAGGAGATATTTCCTGTTGTTTTCTTGTGCTTTTCAAGGTATCGTGTTTAGCACCTGGCACTCCATTATAATCCATGGAACCACCCACTCTGGGTATGGAGACTGTTTCTCCTCTGGTTGCCAGAAACCCTCTAGGGACAACTCACTTGCAGCTCTACTCATATTCATTACCAAGTTTGGGGGAAAGTCCATTGAGGACGAAGGACTGGGAAGTGCCAACCAGGTTCGTCTGAACTACTGTGGCTCCCACACAAGTACCCAGGAGTCCTTCTGTGTTGGTCTCAAACATGGGTTTGATTAGGACTTCCAGGGTTTCTGTGACAGTGTATGAGAGGTGACAACTGAATCTCTTTTCCAGAATGTTCTTCTCTGAAGCAGTGTTGCAGGGGTGCCCTGGGAGAAACTGGGGGACCTCCGAATTGGCCCCCAGTGCCTTGATGAGCCCTTGGAGTGAGCATCTACCCTCCTCACTCACTGGCTTGCTCACTCGCTCACACACACAGTCCTGGGAAGTACTGTGTACCTGTTTTGTTCTGAGAGGGTCCTTGTAGCTAAGAATAGACAGCCAACCACCCAAGGTTCAGTCAGTTGAGTACTTAAAGAATCTTAGGGAGTGTAAGAAAAAAGTACCTGTTTTGAATAAGTATAAAATCTTAGGGGTCAGCTTGGGATAAATGAGACTGGAGGTTTTTTGTTTAGCTTTTTAAAATCATGCCATTCACTTGAAGCCCTATGCTGAGAATACATGAAATAGCCCAGTTTACAAAATGGACTGGGGAGTGGAGAGGATGACAGTCATTTAAAAATGAACCCTGCCATCCTCAAGTTTCCTTTAGTGAAATCCACCAGCGGACTGAAAACAGTCTCTCCAGACTGAAACGCTCTTGACCTTTCAACAGCCATTTTGCAAACAAAACAATGTGGGTATACCTGGATATTTATAACAGCTTTTTTTTTTTTTAAAAAATATTTATTTGAAAGGGAGAGTGACATAGAGGTAGGGGGAGAGAGAAACAGAAAGAGATACTTCTGTCCACTGGTTCACTCACCAAATGGCCACACAACAGCCAGGTCTAGGCCAACCTGGAGCTAGAAGCTAGGAACTCCATACAGGTCTTCCACATGGCACTTGGGGGGCAGGGGTCCAAGCATCTGGGACAACTTCTGGGGTCTTCCCAGGCACACAGGCAGGAAGGTGAACCAAATGCAGAGAAGCTGAGAACGTAAGCTGGTGCTCGGATATGGGATGCTGGGCATTGCAGACTGTGGTTTAACCCCTTGTCCACAGCCTGGGTGCCAGAACAGCTTTTTTACAGCATCGAAGGCTTACGTTTTCATAGAGTACTGGTTAAACAACTTATCTGCATAGGTGAATGCTACGTAGCCTTTAGCAGAATGGAGGGGTGTTGACATGGAACGATCTTTAAAGCATGTTAATTTAAAATTAAGCAGGGTGAAGCGGTGGGGAAGAATATGCTATTGTATTAGCATATAGAAAAAAGTGTTATAAAGAAAATAGAAAAGTGCATGTGCAATTATATTTGTAAATTCTCATACGTGGAGTCTGTCTGAAAATATTGCTCTATGCTGCTCTAATACTTGGGTGCCTAGAGAGAGAGGAGCGAGGTGATTGGCAAAAAGGGCTTTGTCTCAAGGTTGCATATTAAAATTTTAAATAAGCTCCTCCTTTCCAGCAACAATTGTGCCCTGGTATCAATTTCAGCACATCAACACTGAAAAAAGGCTGTCTTCAAGTCGATTAATTTCTACAACATGCTCATAGCCTCCCCCCACCACCCCTTCTCAGTGGAAGACCTAGGTTCTGTTACCATTTGTCTGAGTATTGGGCACATTAATCCTCTGGTGGGGCACAAATTCTTTGTTTGAAAATGATGGGTTTAGACTAGAAGTGGCTTGTGAAACTCCCTGGACTAAGATGATGTGGTTTTAGGACCTGATGCACATTTGGAGAACAAAATGTAATAAACTGGCAAAGAGCAATCTCCGTGCAGGTCAGATAGTGTTTTGAAGACGTCGCTGGACCACCTTCACAATGTATTTCATTCTGTAACCACCCTATAAATCCCTTTTCATATCTACTCTGTTCATCTTCAGAAACCAAAGAACAACCAAAGAGGCATATTCAATTGAAGAAATTTATTTACTTTTTTTCCTAGGTACATAGATGACATAATTATAGACAAGTTTTGATACACAGGAAAACCCTTCTGTCCACCTTTCTTTTTGCTAAATGAATCGGCACAATAATTTTTACACTTTTTAAAACAATACATAGCTTTGTTGGGCTGAAGCAATTGCAAGAACATACTGGTACTGGTATATTACAGCTACTTACAATGTTTAAGAACAGCAATGGAGAAAAATAAGTTATTTAAATATTGATTTCATATACAGAAAGTGCAATGTTGTTAGTTGTTATATAACTTGCTTGACTGTTTTCTCTATCAATTTAAAATCAAGGTAACTTGGACTTGGACTATTATATCTTTTTCTGAAAATAATACAGTACACATGCAGCAGTGACTTGGTGAGGCGGCCTCCTTTGCTGTGGTTCCAGAAGCTAGCTTTGCTGTGTCAGGAACTGACTTTTCCTAGTCATTTCCAAGTTCATCCACACTCAGGTTCGAGACAGAGAAAGGGGCCTCTGGGTAAGGCAAGGCCAGGAAAAGCTATCTTGGCTCTGGAGGAGTGGACGTGGTAGTTGGGGCTGGCTGCCTTTCCTTCCAGCTGGCATTGCCGTAAAAACGATATACAATGTCATGTGGAGCTACCTGAGCTAAACTGCCTTTTCCAGGGTTCTTTTGTGCTTTCCAAAGACAACAGTGGTCATCGTTCCGTGAAATTCTGTACCCAAAGCAACCGATGAGATCTGGAGATTGCGGGAGCCTTCACCTGTCTACTGCGTAAGGCCCACAGGTGGCCCCAAACCACCTCAGTGAAATGTCACGCACAAACATTCAGGCTTCTCTCAGACCAAACAAAGTTCAAAGCAAAGGAAGACCAAACACCACTAAAGATATCAACAAAAATCTCTCTAAACACCACAGTAAGGTCCAAACCACCTCAGATCCCTCAAACATTGCCACTAAAAATAATCTGTGGTCCCTGAATTTTGATTTTCTATGCAAAGGCAATGATTTCCAAAGAAGAGTCCTAAAAAATATGGTTTGGTATTCCCAAAAACTCCAATTTGTAAAGTTCCCTCTTCTCGTGCCATTCTTATGTAATTGAAAATCCGACACTTGACAGTGAGCCACAAGCTGGACATTCACGTGAGATTTCTCCTTTGTTACCTGCTCCATGACTGTTGTGTGGCTCGCTTGCTCAGCTAAGAGGATGAGCAGGACTTCTCACAGCGTCCAGGGGATGGGGGGAGCCTGCTGTGCTGCGCCCACCTGCGCCCAGCCCACGAAATCTGATCAGATCCTCACAGCCTCGCCATCTGCCAAAAAGGCGAACCCACACCCTAAGAGGACCAGCCAGAGCTGACTTTTTAAGAGTTTAACAGAAATTTGGCAGCTTTTCCTTCTTATTCTGCATTTCCAAAATTTCTTCACATGGCATCTTATAGAAGGTGAATGTTGTTGAAGAAATAAACATTATCTTTAAAGATGCATACCAACGCATGGAAAAAAAATACATGTTCCCTCAGAGTGTCACGGATGATATATATATATAAAATCATCACGGATGAGATATCCAAAGCATATGCTAATGATGGCTTCGTACTGAACAAAATTACCCTCCCTGCCGTCATGAGTGAAATCATTTGTCTTGAAGTAGATGAAATATCACAGAACTGTTGACCAAGGTCTTGTGTTCCTACTGTAAACGATCACATTTGATGCTTAAAATAGTGTTTATCAGACCAATGTAAAGGAAACTCATTTTGTAAGCAATGGAGACAATAGTTGTTATAAATTTGCTGTATCTAAAAAATCAGACACTGGACTACGGAAGATAGAATATGGTTGAAATTCAGTTGGAAAACAACTGAAAAATGTGCACACACATGTGGTTTGTCTGGCTCCACAGTGAACCTTTGCTTGAACGGAAAGAACGGCCTAGAAACTGAAAAACCATCAGAAACATCTTAGAAACGACTTCCCTTTTTGCACTGTGAACCTCACACTGACTTTTGGCGGAGGTGACCTGTGAGCCAATGACGGAATTCTGGAGTGGACGTGGTCAGGGTTCCAAGTCAATAATACTGCAGCGTAACGAGCAACAGGGTGATTCTACGAAATTGATGAAAATGAAAGGCAGTTACTAGAAACACACACACATACACACGCTATCTTTGAGAATTCCAGCCAGGTTTCCACTGGACTTGTTAGTTTAAAAACCGAAAGCCAACACGAATTATGTGCCTGATAAACACCCCTACAAAATAAGCCATGTTAGGATGAGACAATGAGAAAAGCCCACGGTTGCTGAGAACATCCCAGATATGTTAGATGGAAGTCTAAGCGGAAGATTCGGAACTACGGTTACAGGGCTGTGGACGTGAGTTGGATAACTGCTTAAAAGCTTATATTAAGGCAAATAAAAGCTGATTGCTAGAAAGCAATTATTAAAATGCTCTTGTTTATCTAAAGGAGAACAGGACTGGTTTTCTTCTGGTATAGCCAGATGTTCTAACTCTTGAGCCAGTGAGTATGGTCAATAGTGTACAATGACTCCCAAGTCTGTTACTTTGGCCTACCTAAGCCCGTCTGCCCTCGGTGTCGCTCATGGTGACCGGCAAGGGCAAGGGCGCAATCAGAAATGGAATGGGCTGCCCTGACCTCTCCTCCTAGCCCTCTGCCAAACACAGACGGACCGAGGCACAGCGTGTGCAGCCAGTTGGCAACTTGGTTCTTCCCCGTTTGGAAAATAAAAATAAGTGCTGGTCTTCGTCTTTGGGGGCGAAAGAGAACCACGCCCATTTCCTTGCGGGGAGGGGGGTTGCTGTGCTGGAGGAGAGGGTCCTCAATCCTCGGCCAGGTTCCCCGCTCCGTCTGGCCACATGCTGGGTCTTGAGCTGCATCCACGCTGTAAGCACAGTGACAGGGTGGCTCTGGTCCGGAGGGGCCCAGCACGGGCCTGGCTACACGGCCTCGGGGCCCGCTGGCAGTTTGAAGAGTCTGGCTGCGGACACGAGCTTTCGGATGTGTCGCTCCTCTGTGATGCCGGCCTCCTGGAGGCAAGTGTGTGACAGAGAAGGCACTTGGCTCAGGGTGCTGAACCCCGCGTCGGCGAGGGTGCTGGTGTACATGGGCAGGCCGATGGAGATGAGCCAATCGGACACGGATGCGATGCACCCAGGAGACAGGGGCTTCCTACAGATTTCCGTGAGTCCGCCGCTTGGGATCTGCATGGATGGAGAAAGCTAAGTGAGGAAGGTTTTACGCGCATCAGTGGTGGGCTACCGTGTACGTGCCCGAGAGGAACGCTACAATCACAGGTTCAGTCAACCACAGGATGGAAAGAACTGGCAAACAACTGCTGATGTGGACAGGTGTTTTTTCTTGTTTTTATTCCCTACAGTGCAGCGTAACAACTATCTGCAGAGCACTGTCACTGCATTAGGTATTGTAAGTCATCTGGAGATGACTGAATATAAATGGGAGGCTGCAGATACTATGGCAATTATAGATTGCAAAAAATATTTGCTTATTTCTAAGTATCTGAAAGGCGGGGAGAGAGCGAGAGAGAGAGAAAGAGAGAGAAAGAGAGAGAGAGAAAGAGAGAGAGAAAGAGAGAGAGAGAGAGAAAGGTCTACCACTGGCTGGTTCACTCCCCAAATGCTCACTCCAGTTGGTGCTGGGCCAGGCCAAAGCCAAGAGCCATGAACTCCACCTGGGTTCCTGAATGGGTGGAAGGGACTCAAGTACTTGAGACATCAGCTGCTGCCTCCCAGGGTCTACAGAAGCAGGAAGCTGGATCAGAAGGGGCAGCGGGACTCAACCCAGGAGCTGTCAGAATGTGGGTGTTCCAGGCTTAACCGCTGCACTGTAACACCTGCACCCTACAGTTCATTTTCTGTAAGGGTCTTGGGCACTCATGGATTTGGTGTCCACGGGGGTTCCTAGAACCAATTCTGTAAGGAAACATGGGAATGACTATACTGAAGTACTACAATGCTAGATTAACATTGTAAGAAAGTCAGAATGCTATCAGATGTCAAAGATCATGACTAGCATGAAAAATTTTTCTCAAAAATGAAATTCTCAAGGAAGTGCCCTAGGAGGTATTAGATGAGACCCCAATTAAGTGCCCAAGTCTCCAAACTGCAAGCATTTATGTATCCTGCTGTTGTGTCTCACGGTGGTGTGCTCTTTGATGAGAGAGAACTACTAATGGTGATTTGAAGAGAAAACCCTATGTGATAGTGTGGAAAACAATACTCAGTGGACAGAGATTTTAAAACGTGGATTTTCCATTGCACTGTGAATCTATACTAAGAGCAAATCAAAAATCAATGTAATTACAAAGAACTTAAAATAGAACAATCTCAAGTGTTGGCTAGGACAAGGAAATGGACGTTTAAATTTGATAGGTAGATATAGAGGGCTACACCTTTCAGAAAGGCGACTTGCTAACTAGTGTGAGAATCCTTGGTTTTGAACTATCTTGAAGCTAACCTTCTTCAGTGAAGACTGTCAGAAATTAAACTTGGAAACACAGTTTCATTAACAAGGATGTTCTGTGCTGCACCACTAAAAATCTAAGTTTGAAAACACAAGTGTTTCCACGATGTGAGATCAGCTAAATCATAGTACATCCACCTAAAACACTTTGAAATACTAATACAGAAAATCTTTTCTCAGTAAAGAAGAAACAGACTTGTCATACGATAACTGAAAACAATCAGGTTCCAAAATGTGCTTGGAAGGGCAGGCGTTGTGGCACGGCAGGTCAAGTCCTCACTTGGGATGCTGCCATCTTCTATCAAATTTTTTTTAATCAAAAGGTTTGAGTTCTGGCACCTCTGCTCCCAATCCTGCTAATGTGTCCTGGGAGGTATGGATGATGGCTCAAAGGCTTGGGACCCTGCCACCCACATGGGAGACCCAGATGAAGTTCCATGCTCTAGGCTTAGGCTTGGCCCAGCCTTGGCTGTTATGGGCATTTGGGGAGTGAATCAGCAGATAGAAGCTCTCTCATTCTGTCACTGTGCCTTTCAGGTAGATAAAAATAAACATTTAAAAAATATTTCTTAAAATTTTCTTAAATATTGTACATGTGCAGCAAATTTTTTAAGATTCACAAGTAAAAATTTATAGTGTTTAACATTTTCAGAGTCACACCTGTAGAATGGCTCAATCAATCTACTTAACATATGCGTTACTCCACATAGCATTATTCTGTGGTGAGAACCCATAATACTATGCTGACTTAGGCAATTTTCAAGTATACAATATTTTAACTGTACTCATCCTGTTGTACAATAGATTTTTTTTTTAAAAGATTATTTATTTGAAAGGCAGAGCTAGGAACAGAGAGAGATGGAGCTTCCATCTGCTGGTTCATTCCCTAAACGGCCACGACAGCCGCGGCTGGGGGCCAGGTACTTGGGCCGTCTGCTGCTGCTTTCTCAGGTGCATTAGCAGGGAGCTGGATCGGAAGTGGAGCAGCCAGTACCTTGAATCGGCACTCATCACAGGTGGTGGCTTAACTCGCTGTGCCATAACGCGGGCCCCACGATAGATCTTTTGAACTTCCTCTCTGACTGCAATTTTGTGTCTTTTGGGGGAATCCTAAGGACATTTTCAAAGGGACAGGTGTTGTAGCATAGTAGGTTGGGCTGTTTGTGATGCTGAAATCCCACATCGGAGGGCTGGTTTGAGCCCTGGCTGTTCTGCTTCCGATCCAGCTTCCTGCTACTGTGCGCAGGAAGGCACGGGAAGACGGCCTAGGCCTTGAGTCCCTGCCACCCACGTGGGAGACCTGGATGGAGTTCTGGGCTCCAGGTTTCAGCCTGACCCAGCCCTGGCTGAAGTGAATGAGCAGTTGGAAGATCAGTCTTTTGCTCTCTGTCTCTATCATCTTGCCTTTCGAATAAATAATCTTCTAAAAACCGTCTTGGGAAGCCTGGGCCGCTCACCGCCATGCGGTGCTGCTTCCGGAGCAGCTTCACCCGGATCTGGTCCAGGTGGGTGGCGACCTCCCTCTCGGGCTGGTCCAGGTCCTCGGCGTATCTCTGCACCAGGGCTTCGGGGATCCCACAGCGGCCGTGCTGCCAGGGGGGAAACACAGGTGACGTGAACGCTCGCAAGGTTTCTCTCCCTTTCTTTCCCTGAGAGACACTGAGGACCTGGCATTTAGCTTCTGGCAGGGATCACCAAAACTTCTGATTCGGACACATGCTTTAGCAGGAAGAGGTTTTTTTTTGTTTTCTTTGTTTTTTTTTTTTTTTTTTAATGTCTAAAATCTTACAAGCACTGATGAGCTCCAGGACAGTGGACAATCGCCGCCTCCTGAACGCATGTAGATGTTTTATGCCCCAAAGTCCTCGGTTAGAGGTACTAACTCCGGAGAGGGTTGTCACAACGCTTCCTGGCTCAGCATATGTCCTCCACCCATGCCACCCTCAACAGAGGCCAAACCCAAGGCACCATTTGCTCTCGGGCTTTCCTCTCCATGAGCTGAATAACCCTGTTTCCCTTTATAACGTTAGTGTCTCGGGGACTTCTTATATTAACAGAACGATCATGCTGCATTTCTTGGACCATTGCCCCTGCCTCCCTCAGCCCTGTCATTCCTCGGATGTGACTGAGGTCAGCCCCCTGCACTACAGGGCAAGTCTGAGGGTGACCCCTCCACCACAGACAGTCCACTGTTGTTGCTACTGCTAACCCTGGAGTAGAGAGGGAAATGAAGTGGGAGGCATCAAGTCTGGATGCACACATGCATGTCAGGTAGTACATGTCAGTGTGTGTACGTGCACGCCAGGTAAGCCATGGACGGTTAGCCTGGGAGCTCCTCCTGCCCACAAAACCAACCCTTTACAGACCCAGCTGTGCCGCTTTTCATTCTCCCTTCAAAATTTAGCCAGCATGGAACTGAAAGCAAAAGCTAAAGTCTGGGAAAAGACGCCCCCAACACACCCCTGCCCAGCCTCCGTGTGTCACCTGCAGCTCACGCCCCCCACCACCAGCTCACACGGGCACCCAACGGGCAGAGGTCACCAGAGGTGGCCCATTTGCTACCGCGCTGAGCGGCGGGGCTGCCTCGTTCTATGAAAACAAAGGCCTGGGCTACCTTGTCGGAATACGGTTCCTCCGTGAGGTCGATGCCTTCGGCGTGGAGCTTGTTTTCGGCGAGCGTCTCCAGGTCGGCTCCCCGGGGGCAGGAGACCTTCCTGCTCAGCGCCGAGCCCAGCCTCACGCCGTGCTCCTGCAGGCTGGCGCTCTCGGGCAGCTCCGAGAGCCAGGGCGGGGGCCGCGTGCTGCGGGGGCTGCCGGGCTCCTGGCCCGGGGAGGGGCCGTCCCCGGGGCCGGCGGGGCTGGGGAGGCTGCCCTTCTTGGCCGGCAGGCAGGGGGCGTCCGGGCTGGGGCCGGGGTGCAAGCCGTTGGCAAGGCGTTCTCTGCTCTTCTTGGCGGGAACGGGCGGAGGCTGCGGGGGATGCTTGGGCGGCGCTCTCGCCTCGGGGACCCTCTGCTCCGCATCCAGCCCTTCTTTGGGGCCCGGGGGATGGTTCGTTCCTTCGAAATCCTGTCCTTTGCCGTGGCCCTCCAGAGACGTCCTTGAGAGGCCGTGCGGAGCGCCAGGAGGCTGAGCGTCACAGTTTCTGGGCACACACGGAGGCAGCGAGGAGCCGCGGGCAGGGGCCGCCGCCCAGCCCTCCAGCCTCTTCGCCGTGGCTCTCTGAGGTTCCGAAAATCGCTTGCTTTGGGTCAGTAGCAGCGCGGTGCGGGCGGCAGAGTCTCGCTCCGGGTGCAGAAGCTTTGCGGCGGGCGCCGCCGTCTTTTGGGGCACTTCGGGTGCGATCCGCGGGGCGGCTGCGGGTCCCTCGGCAGGTGCGTCTTTCCCGACGCCCGGCCCTCCCTGGAGGTCGTCCAGGGAGTGGGACCGGGGCCACGCGTCCACGGCCTGCGGGCCCTCCAGGGTCTCAAAGCTTCGACAGATGGAGACTGGGAGGCTCCTTCGGTTTCTGCTGGCGCCAGGCAGCCGTGGTGGGGCACAGCCCCCGGGAGCGTCCAGGGTGGGACCCCAGCCCAGCCGGCCCTCCTTCTCTGCCCGCTCCTGGGGGTCGGCCGGCTTCGTCAGGGGCAGGGTCGGGTAGTTGCCCCGCGGACTCCTGCTGAATGCCTTCAGGCCGGCCTCGGCCGCTGGCTTCACGGGCAGGAGGCCGCTTTTCCGCGTCTTGCCTGGGAGACAAGGGGGTGTTTTACAATCGCCATTTTTAACAATGAATCAAACCGAAGCATGAAGGTGTTGGAGTTAATTGAAATCGCCTACTCCCATATCCCTTTGTTGAATTAGACTTAGGGACACAAAAGCACCCTTTATGACACTGGGTGATGGAGGGTTATTACCATCCCTTGCTTATTTTGAGAACGAATTCTTGGTCTTATTAAAGAACTCAGCGAGACAGAAATTAATTGGGTTCTACGGAAAAGAAATACACTGTGCAATAAAGTAAATCTAGGCCTCATGTCTATTCCTGCAGTTGGTAGGGAAGCACGATCATCCATACCCAGTTTAGAAACCACACAGAGGGGCGTCTCTGGTAAGCTGGGGTTCCCAAGGCCATGGCTGAGTGGAGAAGGGGGCTGCCGGTGGAAGAGACTCCATAAACGGTGCCCCTCACTCCACGTCACACCTTCCTTGAAGCTGCACCAACCAGCTTCCATCCAGAGATGCAAATAAGCTGACGCGAACGCTTTGCCAGGGACAATCTATAAAACACGCGGTTCTGGGTTCCAGGGAAGCAGTCGCTCTGGCTGCAATAAACCATCAGGGTGGGCGTCTGGCCCAGCAGCTAAGCTGCTGCCTGGGATGCTGGCACCCCGTATCCCAGCGCCTCCATTTGGGGTTCAGGTTCCTGCTCATGTGCACCTGGGGAGAACTCAAGTGTGTGCGGCCCTGCCACCCAGGTGAGAGGCCTGGACTGACTGGGCTCTGGCCTCCTGGCTTTGGCCTGGCCCAGCCCTGGCTGTTGCAGGCAGTTTGAGGCATGAACCAGCAGATGGGAGATGCATCTGTCTCTCTGCCTCTCAAAAGTCAGACTGATGAGTAGATTATGTCTGGTTCATAATTCAGTTATTTGCTGATTGCTGGTTGGTATTAACTGCTGCTCTGCATAAGCCTTCCTGGGAACACAGTCTGTGGGCCAGGCAATGTGCTAATCGCTTTCTTAGCACTGTAAACACACACACACATGTGTCTGTCAATAACACGCTTGCTGTGTGCTCTGACGCTGGGCTGAGAGGCCTGAGGGGATACTGAGTTAAGCACTGCTGTTACTCTAGACCTACAGAAAAAGAGGCTTTAGAAGAGGCATCAGGTTTAGCAGAGGCGAAGACAAGGCTGGCTGGAATCTCTGGAAAGCCACTACCCTGTGAATCGAGGTTTTCTTTCTAATCTATTGTTTGGGCAAGCATTTCTGAATAAAGGTTTTCATTTAGAATTTGAGTGTCTCCCCCATTCCACAGCCTCACCCTTCTGTAAGTAAGCAGTGTGGAGAAGCCAGGCTGTGTGGACTGACTGGATTTGTGGGATGGAGAAAAGGGCTGGGTAGTGGCCACTGCGAGAGGGAAATGGCCACTCTGGGGAACAGGAAAGTTGTCTTTGACTAAATCTCTGAGTCCGCTGTAGGGATGAGGGCGCGGGGGATGGAAGGAGAGGCCTGGGGCTGTGATGTTACACGTGGTCGGGCCGCAGTCGGCAAGGAGGCCCACAGCCCTCGTCCATGATTTCACAGCTTTCTACCGTCCTCCCTGGACTTGAAACTGCATCATGTTGAGCATAATTCTAGACACCAAGACTGACAGCTAAGAAAGCAGCCTCCTCCGTCAGACTTTTTATTAGTGGCTCTGATAGGACTCGAATGAACCCGTGAAATACTTTGCACTTGGCAAAGCAGAGAAATGGTCCCCTGTTATGTACAGGGCTGTGAGGCCTCACATCCTGTCTACCGTCTGCACCCTGTTCTAAACTGGTAAGCAGCAAGGCATGAGGCACTGGTAGGTTGTCTTGTTGTTCTTAAATAGAGATCATTAGCCTACATGGCCAAGGTTCCACGTTTCACTAGTAGGAAAAATGTCACAGATAAAGAGAAAAGGGAAATACCTCTTCAAAAGGCATATCACAGTAGAGTTGAAAAATCAGTTTGAAATAGAACATTCCGAGATCCCCTTCAGCATGAACTTTAAAAACACGACTTTCCTTTCCCTTAACTCCCAATATAAACCGAACTACTGTGTAAGTTCCGCTTTTATGTTCTGTTCACACTGAAAGATTCCTGAGCTCACTTGGTTCAAAGTAGGGTTCGCCAGCTTTGTTAATCTAGTTTTTCAGCAGGTGCACCTGAGGTCTTTGGGGGGCATTAAAATTCTGCCAGTGAAATCCTTAGCAATCCAGCACAGCTGGAACTCATTTACTGAAAATGTCTGGATATGGAAAAGTTATTAACAGAAAAATAGAACCCTCAGGAGCTACAGAAGGATTCTGAAGTTTACAAAAACTGAGTGAATTTTGCATCCCATCGGGACTCGGACTATCCGAGCATTGAGGGTTTCGGGGAGAAGCACCATCTTCCAGAATGCACAGAACACCTTGAGGGGCAGGGCTCCTGCGTCAAACTAGGAGGTCACCAGGTCCTCACTGGAGTTGGGATGAGGGGGAAATAAGCAAGGTGCCCAGGTACAAACTCCAAGAAGGTGCTCACTCTCAGGGTCATGCCCGGGACAGCACCTCTTTAGCTGTCACAGCCTGGGCACACATAGTTCTGGTTTTGGTGTCCACCATGGCTCTCAAGCTGTTCTCTGCTCTTATTTACAATAAGTAACACATTTTACATTCAAGATCTGGTACACAGAGGTGCACATGGATGCACGTGCATGGGCACACACACACACACCTGACACAAAGACTCTAGGAATCAACACCACCAATACTAACCCTTACCTTGTTTGATGCACTCTGATATTTTCTACTTGATTTTCGCTTACAGAACTGCTATCCATGACCCACTAATTTGATTTCACAACCCACAAATGAATTACAACCTGCAGTTTTAGAACAGGTGCCTCCGGACATCCTTACATGTGGGTTACTAAATGGGATTCCATGGCAGCAAAACCTATTGGACCTGGGCATTTTCAATATGGTCTTCAAGTGCTCAATGGCGACTTAGGTCACTGTAGCAGCGGGAACCCTTTCTCACTAGCATGAGATCTTGGAGGTTGCAAGAGGAAAGCACAGAGACACACAGGGAAACATGGAGCACACCTGCCCCCAGTCCACCTAAAACTCCCCTCCTATTTTACGAGTACACTTTCTGAAATCTCATCCTGACTGCTTCTGGCTGTTGGCATGGGGAAGCCACAATGGGATGTGGGGCCTCCATCATCCTACAGTAATTGCCTCTTGGCTCAGGTCATGCAGCTGGGACAGGCAAAGCACCTGTGCCAGTGTGACCCTGATGGATGGACTACCAAATAAATTGTTTTCCTTGGGGACTTAATTGTCCCCAGTACTCAAATGCTGGCTAACTGGGCAAAGAAAAGGGCACAGGAGACATATGGCTTTGGTTTCACAGCTGCATAGTATTTTAGATGGAATTTACTAACCCCACATCAGCAGCCAGGAGGAAGACAGAGGAGGTCAGGGAGGGAGAGGTGACCACCGAGTTTGTAATCATGATAGAATCATCCTGCTGGAGAAGAGTGTTCTTTTGAAGCCAAGAATGGCCGAAGCAGGTGCATGGATCGGGGCTGATCTTACCGTTTTCCAGGTTCTCGCTGCTTTCGTAGCATCCTGAGTCTCGTGGGGAGCATCCGGGCAGGCCCTGGCTGTCCACCAGCAGCTTCTCCTGGGATCCGGACTGGTCACTGTTACCTGCAGAAGGTGAGCACATGGAATGGAGTCACAGGGGAGGATGGGCAGCAGAGGTTTCCAAGTCGGCCAGATTCTGCTTCTGTCTGGGGTTACCACTGACCATCTGAAAGCAAGTAACAATCGAAATTCTCTTCAAGGAAAGTATCAATCCCAAGAAATGGATCTGGTGAGCAAGCAGCTGGGATGTGTGGACGGCTGACTCTGGGCCCTGAGGAAAAGTGCAGAGGTACGGGCAGCAGGGGATAACACCGACGGGCTCTTCTTTTTTTTTAAAGATTTATCTTCCTTCCGCTGGTTCACTCCCCAGATGGCTGCAACAGCCAGAGCTGTGCCAATCCGAAGCCAGGAGCTTCTTCCAGTTCTCCCATGCGGGTACAGGGGCCCCAGCACTTGGGCCATCTTCTACTGCTTTCGCAGGCCAGAGCAGAGAGCTGGATCGGAAGTGGAGCAGCTGGGATTTGAACCAGTACCCATATGGGATGCCAGCACTGCCAGCGGTGGCTTTACCTGCTACACCACAGCGATGGCCCCCGACCAGCTCTTCTGACCAAGGACACCTCAATCAAGGAGCAGCACAGTGGACACACGCCCCTCTTGCAAGGTAAAATCTGGCAGACTTGTGCTTCAAGCTTTTTACATTAGCAGTTCTCCAATGTAGAAGCTACTATCAAAGCACCAGATGAGGACCAGGTGTTTGATGAAGCAGTAAGGATGCCGACTGGGATGCATGCAGCCCCCCCTGGAATGCCTGGGCTGGAGTCCCAGCTGTGCTTCCGATTCCAGCTTCCTGCCAATGTGCACCCTGGGAGGCAGCAGTGACCGTCCCTGCCATTCATGTGGGAGATCCAGGTTGAGTTCTGGGCTCCTAGCTCTGGCCCTGGCCAGCCCTAGCTGTTGTAGATGTATGGAGAGTAAATCAGTGGATCCAAGATCTTTGTGTGCCTTTCAAATAAATTTTTTAAAAAAAAATTGTTAAATGTTAAATGAAGTGCAAAGTGTTAATAGCATTTAGGGGCATTCTTATCCGTGTATCATCTCAGCAGGTGTCAGGGTAGCTGGAAGGGCAGAGACCTCCCCAAACTCCAGAGTGGCCAGCAGCAAAGCCTATGTGTTTTTGTTGTTTGGGATGAGTTCAGAGTCTCTTTTCTGCCTTCTCCCTGTGTCCGGGGCCAGCGTTTCCAATTCTGCCTGTATAGGGTGAGCGAGACAGGGAGAGCCCAGGAAGTGCTCTGCTTTGGGCAGTGAGTGACAGACACGCTGCAGGCGGAGAGCTGAGGCTGGACCTGCCTCACTGTGAAGAGGAGCTGCAGTCTGTGTCCACCACGCCTCCCTAAAGCCAGCGCCCGATCAGGAGCAGCAGCAGGGGTTTCGGTGGAGGGAGTGTGCCTCGAGGCAGTCACCTGGAAACCATGGTGGGGGGGCCTCCCATGGGACAGTGAGGTCACACACAGAACCTATGTGTGTCCTTAGGCAGAGTGAGTGCACTTGGTCACATAAAACAGAAGCCAAGATAACAGTTTCTTACCTAAAATCACCAGCTGCCATGAACGGATCTAATTTATTTTCATTTCTTTTTCCTACCCCCTACCCCAAACCACATCCACAGAGAGAGAGAGGAGATCAATAAGCCAGAAATGTGACGCCTTTTCTCAGGTTACCAAAACACCAACGTGGGGAGACACAGGGCTGCCATTCTACACCCAGGCCGGCTGTACCTACTGTCCCCTCGCTGCTTCCTGCTTTGCGTTCCTTGCGTGGAAAGCATTCTGGAACCCAAACTACGGCAGACACCAGGGCAGCAGACGTCCTTAAGGTAGACTTTTTAAAAGATTAATGAAAATAAAAATCAACTAATTGGAGACGCAAGAGCAACTGCTGACCCCTCCCCCATCAAATCATCTGAACATTCTAGAGTGATGTCCTCATCGGGCGGAAGAGCTTGTGGCTTTGGAGTGGCCTTTGTTCTAGCCTAGCATGTTATTTAGAAAAATAATACTTATAAAATGAGGGTTTTGAGCTATCCATGGCAACCCAGGAAGAGACAGCAGTCGAGGGCACCGCAGTGGCCAACAGATTCGAGGGTGCTGTCCGATGGGAGTAGCTAGCAAACTCACTCCCCGCGCTGCAAGGAGTGCACGCCTGTGTCTGCATCTCTGCCGAGCCCATCGTCAGCAAACCTCGCTGGAGACTTGAAGCTAGCACAGATGGAGAAGGACTCATCCCATCACTAAGAGCCACGTTCCGCTCATAAAACCAGAAGGTACAGGGCAAGGGCTAGAGTCAGGGTCTTGGGTGACTGGATGTTGGCTGCCATTGATAGGTGAGTCAAGGCCATAACCTTCTCGCCACGCTTATTAGCATTAATGCCAAGGTACAAGAGACAAGGAGGAAGCTGCACTGGCACCACGAGAGTTCTCACAGTGAAGTCTGAGTGAAGGGCTTGGTTGTGGGGCTGGCATCCCATTTGGGTGCCTGAAGGGTCTCTGCCTGGGGCACAGCTGTTCCCCCGCATCACCTGAACGTGCAGATGTGCAGCACACATACAGAATATACCAAGGCACTGAGGTCTTCAAACATCAGAAGGTGGCAGACAGCAGTTACTCCAGGAGAGAAACAAGAAAGGGAGGGTGACGGGTTGTAGAATAGCAGGACTTTGAACAGGCTTGTGCCGTTCCTTCTTTAAAAAAAAAAAAAAAAGAGGGGCCGGCGCTGTGGCGCAGTGGGTTAAAGCCCTGGCCTGAAGCACCGGCATCCTATATGAGCACCGGTTCTGGTCCCAGCTGCTCCTCTTCTGATCCAGCTCTCTGCTATGGCCTGGAAAGCAGTAGAAGATGGCCCAAGTCCTTGGGCCCCTGCACCCATGTGGGAGACCCAGAAAAAGCTCCTGGCTTCGGATCGGCACAGCTCCGGCCGTTGCAGCCATCTGGGGAGTGAACCAGCGGATGGAAGCTCTCTCTCTCTACCTCTCTCTGTAACTCTGTCTTTCAAATAAATAAATCTTTAAAAAAAAATAGAGGGATTGAAGCAAATTGACCCAAATGGTAACTTTTTAAATTCAAGAAGTATATAAGTGTGTTTTATTTTTCTCCATACTTTTTGTGTACTTAAAATAATTCCCAATTTAAATTCTTAGAAAATTGTTTTTAAAAGACTTATTTGAAAGGCAGAGACAGAGTGAGAGAGAGAGCTCTTTCACCCACTGGTTCAGTCCCCAGATGGCTGCCAAGGCTGGGGTAGGGGCCCAGATCCTTTAGCTGTCATCTGCTTCCTTCCCAGGTGCTTAGCAGTGAGCTGGATCAGAAGCAGAGTAGCAGGACTTTGACTGGCACTCCGATACGGGACATGAGCATCAACAGCAGCCCCTAAACTTTATTTATATATTGAATGCCACACTTTTTAAAGATAGTCAAGATGCTAAACCTTATGGTATGCAAATTTTACCACAGTTAAATATTTTTAAAAATCTTTTCAGGGAACTTTGTTTCGGCAGCCTGGAAGGAGTGAGCGCACACTCGGGAAGAGCGAGCTGAACTGGATGTCAAGTCTCGTAACCTTGGGGTAAGTCTGCACTCAAGAGTCTGGGCACTAATGCGCATCTCTGAGCCCCTGGAGTCTTTGCTTAGAACCACTAAAAGGGCGCCCTACTTTATGCGTCAGGGCCATGCCACACAGCGGTACAGCACAGAGCCCAAACGTGACTCACGAGGAGGCAGAGAGGCCTTCGCAGCCAAAGCATCACAACCCGATAAGAGTCCCGGGGGTGAGCCGGTTCTGTGGCATGAGATACGAGGCACAGATCCCTGCCCTACACTCTGCTGCTCTCCACTCTGGATGGGAAAGAAGTTAGTGGATACCGCATATAAACCAGCTGTTCCTGCTGGCTGGGGACACAGCAAATGAGCTATGTACCGAGCAAGTGCTGTTCACTTGTGGCCGACCAGCCAAGCTCATAGGTCATCAAGTTTCAGGATTCCACCAGTCACTGTGCCATACACATCATCTGGCCAGAGACCCCAGGGTATCACTCGGAGGACCCCAACACCAAAGAAACCTGGTTATAAGGTGCTATTAAGCCAACTCTCCCCAAATCTATCCCTGAAGGCAGCTTGAACCCAGGGTTCATCCTCTGCTTGAGATGCTGTGTGCTCCCCTGTTTCGTCAATTAATTTAAGAGGAACACCTGTTAAAGGTGGCTTTCCTTGTCCTGGAACACTTGCCTCCAGGACCCTTGGGCTGGATAAATCAGTACACCTGCCCCTCGAGTTAAACCCACTGTAAGCCAAAAATGCATTTAAGCAAGCTGACTGACCAGACATCACAGCTTAGCCACCCAGGACACTGTACAGTGCAGGCTTTTACTCTGTGACCGTGAGCTGGAATTGGGTTGCTGCCACTACCCAGCATTGCTAGGGCAGGAAAAGCTCAAAATTCAGAGAGTATGGTTTCTATTGATGGTGTATTGCTTTTGTGCCATTGTAGGTCAAGGACCATGTGTAACGTATCGTGTTTCTCCCCCATTAACCATTGTTTTGGTGTGTCTTTTGGCAAGAGAGAGGCTATTAGCAGCTAATATCCCTGAAGCTGAGCACTTGAAAGAAAATGCATTTGAATTCACTAACTGGAAGGAGAGCTTCCTTGGCGATAATAACTCCAGGAATACTTCTGATGTCAGACTAAAGAGTAAAGAGCAAGATGAGAGTAAGTTAATGCAGCACAGGACACAGTGTGCTCCAACAGACTCCATCAAAGCTGGGAGCACGCGGAGTGCTGTTCACAGGCCGGAAAAAGCAGCTGTCTTTCAGGTGGGCAACCCCCTGTTCTGCGCACGCACAGCGGAGGGCCACTTCCTTCTCCTGTAATGGGAGCTGATACATTTCATTCATTCACTCACTGCCATGGTTAGGCTGAATCGCTAGATTCCAGGGTGCTGGTATTTAGAGGTGGAGCCTTTCGGAGGTGATTAGCAGTAGATGAGGTCTTGGGGGTGGGGGTCCCCATGTTGGCATCTGCAGTTTACGACAAGAGGAGGAGAGACCCGAGCCAGACGCTTCCTCTCTCACCAGATGACACCCTCTGCCGAGTCACGAAGCAGCAGCAGCAGCAAAGCCCTCACCGGATGCCAAGCCCTTGGACTTTGCAACCTCCGGCAAAGTAAGCCAAAGAAACTTGTATTTTCAATCAGTGTACCTCGTCTCGGGTATTTTGTTACAGAAACAGAAAAAAGACATTCAATAGCCAACCTGTTCAGTAAGAAAACCACACATGGGTGTGGCAAGGAACTCCCAGGGATCCTAATGACCTGCTGACAACTGCATATCCCAGCAGGACTGGTTTCTCTAAACACTGCAATTCATTTGTCCCATACACTTGGTGCAGCTTTATCCTTGGCTGCTGCCTGGGAAATGTGCCAGGACAGGTATCCACGGTCAGGTTTTCTTCTGCCCCTATGTCAACAGTGGAAATTTGTGTCTTTGTGCTGCTTGACATGAAACTGACCTTGGTTTGGGAAGAGCAGGACTGAGTGGGTGACTCCAGTGGCCTCGGCACATAAGCTGGCCCCTCATGGGTGGCCCGCAAATGTGAGTGACCAGGAAGGAACCTTTCTGTGCATAGGGGGACTTACTGTCATATTCCTGCAGCAGCTCCACAGCCGTCAAGAGAACAGCTCTGTGTTCTGGGTCCCTGATATTTAACTCATCCAAATCTTCCTCCTCCAGGAGCTTAAAGGTGTCCAAATCCTCATAGCCATTGAACAGGAAGGTGGGCATGTGCTCCTGGGGGTGAGAGACAATGCAGGTGAGTCAGCCGGCCCGGCTGCATGACAGAGCTAAGCCTCGCACCCTCGGTTCTTCTCCCCCACTTGTTTCTATGCTCATCGAAAGACACATAAGAATCACTGTCGTATTCCAGTCCTGCAGCTTGGCAGGCAGAAGTTAGACACTGCAGGCATTAGAACCGTGCCCTGGATATGAGCGGATTCCTTTAACGTCACCCGGCCCACAGTGGAGGGGAGTCCTCCTTCATTTATATAGCTGTTGAAATGCAACTCCGAAAGCCCAGTGGTTCTTTGGGAGCAAGGGGCTTTGCCAAGGAAGCAGAGTCTTCCAGTGGGAACCCAGCCTTGTATCTGTGCCTGTCGGGCAAGGGGGGCAGGGGGAGCCGCCTCATGGCCCCATGGAACAGCCAAGAGCAGGGCACGCCAGGGCGCTGTCCTTACAGGAGCAACCTCTGACCCAGGGCTGTGCTAGCCCATGGCAAAGGACCGGGCCAGCATGAGGGCACAGGCATCTATCTGCAGGGTAATGACAGCATCCTGGCACTGGGCCGCCCTGGCACATGCCCTCGCTGTTTAGTTGAGGGGTGAAAGGTGGTGAGGGGTAGAGGGAGACCACAGCCAGCCACGCCGACCTTCAGGTTAATGCGATCGAGTAGGTCCTCCACCGACTTGGGCTGGGGCGGTCTCCCCTTTCTCCTCCTCCTGGTGGGGCGCTTGGGTTTCTCCTCATCTTCGTTGAGCACATCCACGTAGATGAACTTGAACGTGCCAACTTTGTTGTTCAGCAGGCCCATCCAGGTGCCCATGGGTGGTTTGCTGATGATGTCAATGATGTCTCCCTTCTGTGGCCCAGGAAAGAACAGAGAGCTGTGTATCAGGTACATTTCTAAGCATGAATCATGAAATCGGTCAGACACACGAGTCATGCAGACGTGGACGGGGGTCCCCTAGGTCACCTGACTGATCAGCGTGTAGGTTACTGCAGAGCACCTCTGGCTGTGCTGGGTCACAGCCCCTCTATCCTCTATATGTGCCGGCACTGTCCCCTCCCCAGGCTGCCTACCAGCTCCTACCCCCCATCCAGAGAGCTGCCACTTATTGGGATAGAGAATTTCCCATCGGTCCCATGCCAGGGACACTTGCTATCCTGTAACGGCTTCATACATCCTGTAGAACCCCATCTGTACACACACACATGGCAATAATCTCTCCCCAGATGGAAACCAAGGTATAGGGGGAGGAGGAAACCAGAGGGGAGCTGAGGTCAGAGGACAGGGCCGGGGGACGGGGCAGTGATGACAGAGGGAGCCCCCTCTGCCTGCACCGCTGGCTGGCTCTCAGGCTTGTTTCTCCGCTCCAAAGCCTCAGTGAACCAGCCTGCTCTGCAGCCAGGCTGAGACCCACCTTGAGCTTGAGCGAGTCTGTATCGTAGGGACTAGGGGTGAAGTCCGTGTGCACACGGGCGCGCCCACAGAAGGGGCCCCGGTAGGGCAGCTCCTCATCATCGCCATCCTCCGACTTGACGCTTTCCCGGTTGCTGGTGGAGGAGTCGGTGGTACTCACCGTCTGACCACCTGTGTAGACAGGACGGAGAAAGAGGAGTCAACGCAGGCTGCCCCCATGGCAGCACCCAGCTGTGAGTTCTCTGTGCTGTCCCTCATCGATGGCACAGGGGACACGCAGCTCCTGGGAGCCAGGTGACCTGGAAACTCCCTGAGGGAGGGAGCTGCAGCGTGGGGAGTTGACTCCGCCCTTAGCGTTCAGGGGCTCTCATTTAATGTGCAGCATTTTTACCCCATTTTAGGGGAAGGGACACAGCCTCAGCTCAAGAAACTTGCCCCACACTAAGAACTTAAAGTGGTCCACTTAAATCTGATTTTCTCCCCCATGCCATCTGGCCAGCCCCAGGCTGAGTGGGGCGCCAGTGACATGCACACTCCTGTCCCCTCGCCAGCGCCCCCTACTGTCGGTCGTCTTCCCATGCTTTCCACCCTGGCCTGTTCTCCCGGGTCCTCTGCAACGAGCACCCCATCTGCTCTCGGCAGCCTGTGCCACTGGCCCCTGTGGAACACACAGGGTTCGAAGCCCGGAAGTGCTGCACCGGAAGGGGAGGAGCCTGTCCGTGCTCCCCATGAACCCGCCGGAAGTTGACGGTCCGTTACACGTCTGGCTTTGATTTGTGCAGCCTACACTTACTCATGGAGCTCTGCCCGCTCAGAGAACTCCGCAGACTTTCCACGGAGCCCCCGGCCTTGAGCTTGGGCTTGTCCAGGTGTTCGGAGTCAGGCTGTGGAGACACGGGGGAGCCGGGCGTTCCGTCCAGGGCCGAGTCCTGAAATGGTGTCGAAGACGTTAACTGGTTGGTAAGTCTCAGCAGTTTATATTAAATTTATAGAGATTTATTCTGGCACTCAGAGCAGTTTGGTCCTCAACCAACTCGAATCGATCTCTCTTCCCCTGTTTGATCCTGTGCTCAGGATTCTCCTCTTCCTGAAGCCTTTTTCCTTGCTGGTTTAAAACTGTGGTCCACGTTACCAGTTATCAAGCACTCAAAAAGATACTCTTCAGGGCTTTAGGAAAAGCCTGTCTCACCACACAGAGATAAGTCTCAGCTTTCCCCCCATTCCAAATGCAAATCAAGTACAATCTCCTGTTAACACAGTACCTGCAAGTACTACCAAAGGATATTTAATGTACCTTGCACTCAAAGTATATTCCTTGAAAAAAAAAAAAAGGGGGCACATTCTTAGGGCTCTAATTCAACAAATTATTGAAGCTGGCTAAAGAAAATACCAACATAGGGCCCAGAAATAGAGGAGAAGCGGCCAGCGGTCCATGTCTGCAGATTCCATTGCAACTTTCCAACTAACGTCAGCTCAAAATCGTCCTCCCACCCCAACCGTCTGTATCTGTGGTGAACACGTTCCCTATGCTTTACAACGTAACAACTGTTCACGTAGTATTTACATGCTATCGGGTATTTTAAGTAACAGATGACTTACAGCGTACGAGAGGATGGGTGTAGGTTACAGGCAAATACTTTGGCATTTTACAGAAGGGACTTGAGCATCCATGATTTTGGTATCTGTGGGGGAGCCTGGAACCAAACCCACATGGCCAGGAGGGATGTGAGCACTAATTTTCCATCTATAATACAGTTCCCATGTGCCACTGTATGGTTTTGGCTGCTTTAGCTTTTTTTCAGCGTTGTTGCTAAAAAGCTGTGCCTTTCGGGTGTCAAGGTTGCCAGTGGCAACGCAGCCCCGCTGTTCCTAGTCATTGAGTGGCAAGGAAAATCCGCCCAAGTCACTCCTGGCTGGCAAAAGCAAGTACGGCATGCCTGTTTGACACGTGATGCTCCACAGACAGACGACACCAGACTTCAACCAGAGTGCCGTGGGTGACTGCTGCCTTGACGAACTAGCCAAGTCTTGGGCACGTTACAGGACCCGTGAGCACCCCCGGCGCGTGCACGGCACGGCTGAGACAGCAGCAGGGCTCGTAAGGGCAGCTCCCACCCCAGCGTGCTGCGTGCACAGAAGGGCCTCCAAACAAGGAGACACAGAGTGGCCACTACTGGCACTGGACACCGCTGTTTTCATTCCTCCTTTCTAAATCAGAAGCCAAATCATCGCCCCAATTAAAGCCTTTTCCAATGCTTCAAGGAAAGCACACATTTTGAAAAAGGGTGATGTTAAATGTGCATCTCTATTTTTTCAGTTCTAATGTGTTCCTCACGTATTTACTGATTACAAGAACAGGTACTACTATAGGTGCTAGGCACACAGCAAGAACAGAGAGGACAAAAGTTCCTACCAGAATGGTTACTGTGTTAGCTACAGAAGAGAAACACACACCCTGATACTAATTTTCTCTTTCTAGAAAGCATTATAGTGATCGATTGCTGCTTTTGCCCTCAACTTCTATGAAATGATTGCTTTAAAAAACAAAGGGCTGGGGCCTGCACTGTGGCACAGTGGTTTAAACTGCTGCCTGCAATGCCAGCATCTTATACAGGTGCCTGTTTGAGTTCTGGCTGCTCCATTTCCAATCCAGCTCCCTGCTAATGTGCCTGGGAAAAGAAGGGAGGAGGGCCCAAGCACTTGGGCCTCTGCATTCACAGGGGGAGACCTGGGTGGAGTCCTAGGTTCCTGGCTTCTGCCTGGTCCAGCCTCTGCTATGGCAACCATTTGGGAAGTCAGTCAGCAGCTGGAAGATCTTTTTTCCTCTCCTTCTTTCTTTGTAACTCTGCCTTTCCAATAAAATAACTCTTAAAAAAAAGTGGACTAAAAATACAATATTGCTGTATGGAGGTAGAATTATAGAAAAGTGCTCAAAGTGATGTTAAAACTGTGCACGTGATCCATAGAGCAGAAAACCTGTCAAACACTGGCCCTTTTGGTGGCAAGGCAAACCAAAGTGCTGGAAATGAGTGGCATGGCTGTCACTGGTACAATCCGCTTCAAAGGAGTGTGCAGGTTCTTCACCACTGGGCAGAGGGACAGGGAAATGGAAAAGGGGTGAGGCTGGGGGGACATGGAGAGGACACAGTAGAAAAATCCAGGGCCCTCGCCCTGAGCAGGATGGGCTGTGGAAGGACAGCACTCGTGCTGGGGCCGTGCTGCGCATGCTAGGTCGTTCAGTAGCATCCGTAGCCTCGTCCCACTCTGGCCCAACCCGGTATGACTATCAGAAGGAGCCCCGGGGTCAGCAGGGGAGCAGCCTCGCTGCCCGTCCCCCCAGGGAAGACCACAGTAGCAACGTGAGCATGTGCAGGCTTTGAAGGAAGGAAGGAAGACGCAGCCTGCTGGCCAGCCAGCGGTGGTCAGGGCAACTCAAAATAGGGAGTTGCATGGTGTAGCTCACTGTGCCCACAAGAGGGCAGCAGCAGAGCAGAAAAAGTCAGCTTGCCTTGCTATAGGGTTCCTGGGCAGATAAGCAGCTTTCTCTACTAGGATTAAGCAGCCAGCCAGCTCATAGGCAAAGTGAGCACCCTAAGTGTGCCAGAGGACAGTATTTTGGAAATGGAAAGGTCAAAATCACCGCAAGGGCCTCCTTGCACCCATGCAGTTGAAACAGAAGCTGGTCAAGGCTTTGGCGATGAAAGTAGAGATTTAGGCACAGGGGATCTGTGTGTGCTATCTTAGGAAAACAGTTCCTGCAGAAACCCCAGTGCCACTGAAGTCCACCAGCCAGGAAGCATTTTTGAGTTTATTTCTCAGAGGAAAACTTAAGTTACTTTGAAGAGGCTGCAGTCCAAGAGAATTTGATTCTGGTGATACCTATCTTGTCGTGAGGGGTATTTTAAAAATTAAAAACCTGCCTTTGTGTTCAAATTTATAGTGCTAGGGCTGGCGCCTCCACTTCAGATCCAGCCCTCTGCTATGGCCTGGGAAAGCAGCAGCAGATGGCCCAAGTCCTTGGGTCCCTGCATCCATGTGGGAGACCGAGAAGACTCTCCTGGCTTCAAATCAGCCCAGCTCCAGCCGTTGTGGCCATTTTGGAGAGTGAACCAGCAAATGGAAGACCTCTCTCTGCCTCTGCCTCTCTGCCTTTCAAATAAATAAATCTTTAAAAAAAAACTACAGTGCTTACTGCACTAAAGAATAATGGTTTCTTTACATGGACTGTGCTTCCTTTGCTTTGTACATTGGAGGATACTTCAAAATGTTCATGGAAAATTGAATTATGCAATAAGTTCATCCTAGAGTCAAGAAATTTTGAAATTCATACACGTAAGTTGTCTTCAAAAGGTTCATGATAAGGCCGGTGCCGCTGCTCAATAGGCTAATCCTCTGCCTTGCGGCGCCAGCACACCGGGTTCTAGTCCCAGTCACCCCTCTTCCAGTCCAGCTCTCTGCTATGGCCCGGGAGTGCAGTGGAGGATGGCCCAAGTGCTTGGGCCCTGCACCCGCATGGGAGACCAGGGGAAGCACCTGGCTCCTGGCTTCGGATCAGCGCGATGTGCCGGTTGCAGCGCGCCGGCCGCGGTGGCCATTGGAGGGTGAACCAACAGCAAAAAAAAGGAAGACCTTTCTCTCTCTTTCTCTCTGTCACTATCCACTCTGTCTGTCCAAAAAAAAAAAAAAAAAAAAAGTTCATGATAAGTACTATTATAGAAAAAAATAAAAAAGAGAACACCCTGGGGGGAAAAAAAAAAACACATATGGATTGGCACTGCAGTTCAGTGGGATGAGCCACTGCTCGCGACACTGAATCCCATATCAGCCTAAGGTCCAGGTTCACGTCCCAGCTGCTCTAATTCTAATCCCAATCCCACTCTCTTCTAATGTGCCTGGGAAGACAACAGAGGATGGCCCAAGTCCTTGGGTCCCTGCACCCATGTGGGAGACCCAAAAGCAGTTCCTGGCTCCTGGCTTCTGCCTGGGCGAGTGCTGGCCATTACAGCCATTTGGGGGAGTGAACCAGGGGATGGAAAATTCCTCTCTCCCTCTGTCACTCAGCTTTTTTATTTAAAAGAGTTAGAGAGGCAGAGACAGAGACGTCTTCCATCAGATGGTTCACTCCCCAGATGGCTGCAATGGCTGGAACTGCGCTCATCCAAAGCCAGGAGCCAGGAGCTTCTTCTGGGTCTCCTACACAGGTGCAGGGGCCCAAGCACTTGGGCCATCTTCCACTAATTTCCCAGGCCACAGCAGAGAGCTGGATTGGAAGAGGAGCAGCCAGGACTAGAACTGGTGCCCATATGGGATGCCGGCACCTCAGGCCAGGGCTTTAACCTGTTGTGCCACAGCGCTGGCCCCTCAAATAAATCTTGATTTAATTCCATTTTTCCATGAACTTCGAAGCATCCTCATGGAAGGCAGGGCCTGTGTTTCGTATTCCTAGCACCAAGCACACTGCCTGGACAACCGTCAGTACTTCATAAATGGGGAATGGACTGAATGTCTACAGAAATCAAGCATGGTTCTAGGGCGTGTAAATGCCAGGGGACATCCATGTTAAGAGCCATGTAGAATCTCCGATGGGCCGGCCTCCTCAGGTCCCCCAGCTGTCAGCAGGAATCAAAGGGCCACGGGCGAGGCAGTCACTCACCTGCTCGGAGACAGAGCTGCTGCTGTACTTTTTGGACATCCTCTTCCTCATGGTCTCTTTCACAGATTTCACCTTTTTCCCGAGGGAGATGCGGGAGGCAGTGGGGGATTTGATCACTTCCTTGTACACGAAATCACCTTCTTTGCCCTGCAAAATGAAACAGTGCACGACCCTTGAGTCACAGAAAATGCGGCCCAGATTCGGGTTCTATCACTGAAGCCACTGTCATCCTCACTCTCAGAAAAATAGTGAGTATTCCCCGTGACCTTGAAGTTCTTTCTTGTGTTTACCTGCGGCTATGGTATTTACCTTTCAGATTAAAAATTCAAACCCACCGGCGCCATGACTCACTAGGCTAATCCTCCACCTGCGGCGCCGGCACCCTGGGTTCTAGTCCTGGTCGGGGCGCCGGATTCTGTCCCGGTTGCCCCTCTTCCAGGCCAGCTCTCTGCTGTGGCCAGGGAGTGCAGTGGCGGATGACCCAAGTCCTTGGGCCCTGCACCCCATGGGAGACCAGGAGAAGCACCTGGCTCCTGCCATCGGATCAGCATGGTGTGCTGGCCGCGGCAGCCATTGGAGGGTGAACCAATGGCAAAGGAAGACCTTTCTTTCTGTCTCTCTCTCACTATCCACTCTGTCAAAAAAAAAAAAAAAAAAAAAGAGAGAGAAAAAAGGAAGACCTTTCTGTCTGTCTCACTATCCACTCTGCCAAAAAAAAAAAAAAAAATCAAACCCACCGACTAGAGTCATGTTCTGCTTTGTTTAAAGTGGGTGGGAGTCATTTTTAAATCTGATCTTAGTATAGCCTTTTCCGGTTTTGGTGGGTTTCAACGGCAGTGACTGACATGGCAGTGTTCACAGAGTCCTGGCAGTCGGGGAGCAGAGAGAGAGGACCCGAGAGCAGAGGAAAGCCCACACGGGACAGCCACAGTCTCTGCTGGTGCACATCACCTCGCGTGGTCACCTCCCTAGCATGACTCAATTTCCCGGACTGCTGGGGTCCTCTCTCATTTGAGTCTGCATTAAACACCTCCAAGAAAGAAAAAAAAAATTTCATTTTTTAAAAAAAGATTTTATTTGAATGCATCTTTTTTTCCATGAGCGTTTAAGATTCTTTTTTTTAAATTTATTTGAAAGGGTTAGAGAGAGAGGTAGAAAAAGAGTGAAAGAGAGAAAGAGGTCTTCCATCCACTGGTTCACTCCCCAAATGCCCACAATGGCTGCAGCTGGGCCGATCTGAAGCCAGGAGCTTTTCTGGTCCCCCACGTGGGTGCTGGGGCCCAAGGACTTGGCCATCCTATACTGCTTTCCCAGGTGCATTAGCAGGGAGCTAGATCAGAAGTGGAGCGGTTGAGACTCAAACTGGTGCCCATATGGGATGCTGGTGCTGCAGGCCGCAACACCAGTCCCTTCTTTCTTTTAAAGAACTGGCTACATAAATTATTGGTTAATGAAGTCAGTAGTATTTGACATCCAAATAAAGAAGTTGGATCCTTCCAGGACACTCTCACAACATTAATGGTACTTAAAAAAAAATCCTGGAAAAATGGAAATAAAAACTAAGTTTATTTTGGTACAAAAATTTTTGAATTCCATGCCTATTTTCTTCATGATATGAATCTCCCATGAACTTTTTGAAGATTCCTCATATGTTTGGATTTCAAATTTTTCATACCAAAATTAACCTATCTTTTAATTCCTCAGAGAGCCACCTACCAGGCCAAAGCCATTTGGACTTGTTACATGAAGAAAACTGGAAACAATGACACTAAAGGAATTGTGCTACTTGGAGGAGGCAGAAGCCAGAGAAGGACACAATTCACTCCACCGAGAGTGAAGAGTCTTTCAGATGGTTGAAGGGGCGGCAGTGTGGACTAGCAGGTTATGCTGCCATCTGCGACACTGGCATCCAATACGGGCACCAGTTTGAGTGCCAGCTGCTCCACTTCTGATCCAGCTCCCTGCTAATGGCCTGGAAAAGCAGTGGAAGATGGCCCAAGTGCTTGGGCCCCCGCACCCATGTGGGAGACCTGGATAAAGCTCCTGGCTTCAGCCCAGCACAGCCCTGGCCTTTGCAGCCACTTGGGGACTGAACCAGCAGATGGAAGACCCATCTCCTCTCTCGCTCTCGGTCTCTCTCCCTCTCCCTCCCCCTCTCTGTAACTCTGCCTTTAAAATAAATAAAACAAATCTTTTAAAATAAAGGCATAAAATTAAAACAAATGGGTGAAACAGGGTTCCTTTCCAAATACGATTCAGGATCAATGAGGAAAATCAGGTTCAATTCTCAGAGACAATACGGGAGGCTGCGGCCAAGCACAGCGCGTGATTCCAAGCCTTCTGCTTTCGTATGCTCACCATTGCGTCGGCGTTGTTACTGCCAATGTGCAGGGAACGATTCGTCAGGTCAAAGCCTCCGAAACTGCAGGTTCTCTGTGGGAAGGAGAGGGCAGGGCAGGAATAATCCCATTAGCTTAAGAAGCCAGAAGGCACCAACCCATTTCCCACTTGGAGGACATCGCTGAATCACAGATGTGTGTTTGGGATGGAAGTAGGAAACGAGAAATGATGGGGGAGGGGGGACACATGATTCACTCATTTTGCCCTTTCACAGCCCACTGGGGACTTGGCCTACGCCAGCGGGCCATGCAAAACCAACTGTTTTTTCAGAAACACCAAAAACAGAAACAAAACACACCAAAACCCTGCACAAGTTTCGTGCCGGAAGATTCCCTGGTCATTGGCTCGGATCCCTGCTCTCAGCCCCCTTCGTGTCAGCTCCCTGCGTTTCAATGAGTTTCAATGAGGTAGTGGCACTGAAGGAATCATACTGGGGGTGGTGGGGGGCGGGGGCGGGGGGCGCTCCACGTGTTCGGTGCTTTTGGGAACTCTCGTCCAGAACCTCTGGCTCCGTGGCTGGCAGCAGCCTTCTCGAACAGACTTTTGTTTAGTTTCAATTCGCTGAGAAGTTTATAGTGGTCCAGCCAGACCAAGAGGATTACTCACTCGCTGCTACCCCTCCTAGCCCCAAACACGAGTCACTTTCCCATCCAGCTGTCCAACCCAGTTATTTACAACCTATTTTCTCACGGGGGATAAAGTGAAGACACCCCATTTGCCTATAAAGAAATGGGCTAAGTGTCCTGGACCGCAGCCTTTGATTTCCATAGGAAAAACGCTGATGCCGTTGAGGATGAAAACGTCATCATCCTTTTAGTTGGCTTAAGGAACTGCTTCGACTTCCGTGATTTTGCATGTTCACAACTTGGACTGAATCTGCTGTTGTTTTTCTAGCAAGAGCCAACCAGTGACCACTCCCATCCCCACAAAAGTACACTATGTTTGTGGCAATGAATTATCTTTAGTAAAATAATCAGTAATAAAATTTGAACAGCAGATTTAGGATCCAATATCTTGTACTACCTGTTTCGCAGAAAACTCTGGTTAAAAGCTATTAAATGGCAGGAATAAATTTAAAAAAAAAACACAATGTATACTGTAAACATTGCTTATTTAAAGTAGACATACTTTAGATATATAGTAATTTGCTTGATTGAGAAAGCAGAAGTATCCTGGAAGGAAACACCCAGGTTTTTAAAATCACACAACTCCCGGTTCTGCCACTTACTTCCTGTGTGTTCATAGGAAAAACACTTGATCTCTCTGAGCTTTGGACTCCTCATTAGCAAAATAATATCGATAGCACATATTTGTAGGCTTTGAGTATACTGCCTGGCAAAAAACAAACAATCTATTGGTTTTTTTCTACTATTCTTCACTAAGGCTATCCTGAGAACGTGGTAGCTAGTTCCGACAACTATGACAATGCAATCTAGGCTTCCTCATTGTAGGCTTTGAGTATACTGCCTGGCAAAAAACAATCTATTGGTTTTTTTCTACTATTCTTCACTAAGGCTATCCTGAGAACGTGGTAGCTAGTTCCAACAACTATGACAATGCAATCTAGGCTTCCTCAACATCATCAGTATGCAAATGAAGGGCCAGAGCTCCATTCTGGGCCTATGATCTAGGAATTCAATCCTAAAACCAGAGCATCCCAAGAATGGGTCCCCATGGGAGGGCCAGCAGACTCAGCAGGCACCTGATGAGGGCCAACACTCACGGAGGCACAGAACTGCTGCTCCTCACCAGGGCACTGCTTTGGCAAAGGATGTTATCCTAATTTTGTATTCCTTATCAAAGGGCAATCTGATTTCCAAGTCACCCACCTAGGCAATCTCAAGGCAGACTTTCAATGTGAACTTTCCCTTTCCAGCTTGAAACGCCAAGGACGTTTTCTCATTTTTGCAAAGGCAGTGATTTTTAGCTCAGTTCCTTTCCTGTGACTCAGGGCTTCACAGACACAGTATGGCGCCCAGATGCCTGCTCACTTCCTGGCGTTTGCATCTCCCTGCTTTAAACCACACCAGCTCCTGCAAGCCGGGAGCCCAGCATGTTATTTCTGATGCATATGAAATAACTTAGAAAGAATTTATGTGGAAACTATGCCTGCAATAAATTAAAAGCTCATTTCAGTTTTCATATGCCTGCTGTATGCATTGATTCCTACAATATAAAGCTTAAAGTAAAGAATGGATGGGTTTTCATAACTACCAACTAAAACCTCTTCAGGGATATGCTAAGATATCTGGAACTAATTCTTCTTTCTATTTATCAGTGGAGAAGAGACAAAGAGTATGACAATGAACATTGCTTGAACTAATCTCTAGCTTTTTTGATGTGATCAAGAAGTTCTTAAAACAGCACTTGTTCAGAAGAGAAAATGGATTGTAAACTGAATAGTGAAAGAATAATTAACCAATCCTGACTCAGTGATCTAAACAAATGAAACCTCAATGAGGTTTTCTTTTAGTTCACTCTTCTCCTGTACAGAGAATCGTAACAACGTTTTAGACGGGTGCTGGGCATGAGGAGAGCTAGTCAATGGAATGACCATGCAATTGAAAACATGTTTTATGGGGGGACTGAATTTAAAAATGGACAAAATTCCAAAATGCCATGCATGTCTGTTGACTCAAACAAAAACTGAATGACCAAAAAATAAAAAGCAAGACAAGTGACCATTTTGGGTGAATCCAAAGCATTACCATTTCCCTGAGGCTTCATCAAGCAAATATGGCACTTTTGAAAGTCAAAACAGTCAAGGTCAAAGGTTAAAGCAAACTGTGCACTTTGGGATAAAATCGAAGAAATAGGTGAGAAGGAGAATGGAAAAGAATGCTGGAAATAAGCCAAGCAAAGAAATGAAATTAATCCCTTACAGAAAAAAAGCTCTTTCTTTTGTTGAAGCATGTTTTCCTCTTCTATTCTCAAGAGAATCAGAAAATGCAATTTTGTTTTCCTGATTATACAATTGTACCTGCAAGAAAAAGTATGTGCAAATTTCTCATTTGATACTGAACACATACTTTAGCAAGTACTAAAATTAGCCAGGAGTGCCTCAAGCTCATCATGTTGTGAAAATACCAAGCCTCAGACTGATGTTCTGGACAGAGATTCCACAGCGCCCCCCATTCGGAGGAATTAGTGCTTGGAAACAGGCTTTGCACACAGTCCCATGCTCAGGCAAGGAAGAATTAATCATTAGCCCACCACGTTCAGTAACATGAATCTCAGAAATGACTGGTTGAGAGGAAGTCCTGTGAAGTCCCAGGATTCATTTGGCAATGAATAACCTGATAGGTACACGAGCAACTCAAGGTGCTCCAATTGGGTAAATTCTCAGTATTACATGATTCGCACTCACCTGTGTGAGTCATCATTCCCAAAGAGGACCTGTTTTACCAAGGTCATGTCCAAAGGTAAAACAAACCAGGCAGAACACTTTTGAGTATAAAATAAATTATGTCAAGACTGGTATTTCACAAAACATCTGTGGGTCTGAGCAGACCAGCAGCTTGAACGGGTGAGATAGAAAATTGTTATTTTTAAACAAAAACAAAACCAACAAAAACCAGTTGCCATGATGGAGAAGGAGCCAGAAGACAAGCTTTTGCTACATACAAAGAGTAGTAAAAGTGTGGCAAGAATTATGAATGTGAGAAGACAGAAAACGAGGCCTAGGAAGAAAGTCAACACATGTAGGGCTTTTTGGAAAACGCAGGGCGGAGGAAGAATCCTTTCAGCACAGAGGTCATTCTTAAGGGTGGCATTAACCAATCACTCTGCATTTTCACAAAAGCAGACCTTGACTGACTGAATTTAAATTCCAGTGGTCCTCTGGGGAAGAATATCCTATTCATGAAAGGGAAGGAACCCTGGGAAAGGCCACTGTTGAAGACATTCTTCTTTGAAAGTTCTCTCAGACCTAAAAATGGGCCCACAGCAGCCGTCCAAGTGGATTAAGCCAGGTGCCAGAAGACAGCCAGGCCAGGCGCTCCCCATCTCCTCGGCTCTCTGCACCACTTTATGTGCGCTAAGGTTGGGAGGCAATTTCAAGAGGGAAAAAAAAAATCTATTCTGAAGTTCAAAATAAATCTTGCCCTGGGGGAAAAAATGTTACCTGGTCTCTGATCATTTGGTATGAAAACTGAAAAACATTTCACATTCTGAAAGTTCAATACTGTATTCCTTCCCGTGCTCTGGAGACAACACGCGGCAGGCAGTAGAGGACATTTCCAAACCTCAATTCCTTTGTTTAGAAAGATTAGAACATTGGACGGCCCCAAGCAGGAAAAAAAAAGTGTTAGTTTCTTTTTCCTGCTAGGTTTAAGAACTTTCCCTTTGTGCTACTCATAAAAGAAATGGACTTTACAGTGTTTTTCCCAGTCACCAAATGGTGACTGTGATGAGCGCCAACTTTCCGTGAGCTCGGGCCTATTGTTTTAATTAACTCAACGAGTGGGCATCTCTTTTAAGAGGGCGACACTCCTTTTGCTTTGAGTCTGCTTTTGGGGTCAAGTGACATGATGGCTGGCTACAAGGCCACCAAACCCCACCCCTGTGCCCTGGAAATCCCCCTGCATGTCGCGTTCTCCTTACAAATCGACAACTGGACGAGTGTAGAGTAAGGAGGGAGCCATTAGGAAGCGGAAGTAGGGTGAGAAACTGGAGGGGAATGGTGGGATGGAACCGGAAGTGATGAACCGGAAGTGACGAGCACAAGAGAAGAGAGGGAGCCGGGTGCCAGGGCCAGGCAGGCAGGCCGGCCATACTGCTTGACTGCGCCTCACGGAAATGACAAGGCCATCCTCACCAGCACCCCTGGGACTCACAGACTTCTGGTGGATTCTCAAGAGAACCCTCTTAGTACAGCGGTCCACCGTGGCGGCCCACTTCCGCTTTGCCTCCTCGTCCTCCTGCAGCAAGCACCGCCTCAGGTCCTGTTTCTCGGCCTTGCTCAACGTCCTGTCTGAGGCGGGCCGCACCAGCTGGGTCAGGTTCAAGTGGCTGTAGAGGCTCCGCTCCACCACGTAGGTGATATTGAACTCGCTGACCGAGGTGCGGCCGCGCGGCCGCCTGCCGGGGAGGCCGCAGCCGCCGCCCGCCTTGGGCTTCGGCCGGGGCAGCTGCAGGTCGCAGGCCGGGCTGGGGCCTCCTTTTCTGGAGGGACGCTGGTGGCAGAGAAACGCTCTGGAACAGGAAGAATTAGTATCCGTTTTCTTCCAGCGGATCTGCTTCCGGACGCTCTGAACCTCCTCCAGGGATACCAGGAGGCGGTGCCTGCGACGGTGGCTGTCATAGAAGCAGACACCATCCGTACTTACCCCGTGGCTCAGGGACCCGAGGCCCTTCTTCATCTCCCCCTCCGTGAGGGAGCGGGACACTTTCTGGGCCTTTTCTTCCTCGGGATACGAGAAGAACGTCCCCATCTTCTTGGGGGGCTTAATCAGGCCCCGGCTCTCTCCTTTGCTGAAGGTTTTGGCCAACTTCCGGCCGGCGCCCCAGGTGTCCAGGCTGCTGGATGACGGTGATGGTGACGTGGTGACGGAGTCCGAGTCCCCTTCGGGAGGCTTCTCGGGAGCGCCATCAAAGAAGAACGGCTTCTTGTGCACTCCGGAGTAAAGGGCAGATCGCTCATCCGGGGCAGGGGGAGGCTCAAACACGTGCTCCTCCCCACCTGCAGGGGGAAGCAACAGTCTCCAGTGAGCACACCTGCCCTGCCCTGTGCTTTTCTGACACCTGCCCCCTGCAGGAGCCCCGCTGTGCACGGCAGCAACCCCAGGGGGCTCCCTTCACCACCCCAGGTTGTGAGAAAAGAACCTGTGCAAACAGTGGCTTCATACACCCCGAATGCTTAAAGGTTTCAGATATGTTCCCTTCACTTCTTTGTGTTCCACTCTGGATCAAACACCCTCCCACCTCTATTACGGATGCCATTTGCAAGATCAAAGCCAGTCATCAGCAGTGTATGTCTCAGCATTGCACTGAAATTACCTCCCCAGTTCGTGGGTGTCATCCTCCAGCTACGAATCAGAATGTCCACCCGCTTCCTTTATGCGGGCGCTGCTGGGTTTTTCTAGTTGGAGTGTGTTGAGTGCCATGTGGCCGACAGTGATGCTTTCATTGGGACATATGCCACTTAAGTGATTAAATTTCCAAGGGAGTGTGGGTGGAGAAACACCATAAAGGGCTGTGCCTTGCAAATGCCTCGGACACGTTCCCCAGTTGACAGGCCAGACACAAAATGTCAGAGAGCTGGGCGGCTGTGGCCTGAAGGTGCAGGGGCATTTAAGGGCCTTGACACGCAAGCAAGCAGCTCCGTCCAGCGTTCCACTTCGTCCTAAGGATTCCAGCCCTTGAGGCTCTCATTGGAGCCAGGTAATGAGCCAAGCCCTCGGGAGCCCAGTGGAAAGGCTTGGACTTGCTGGCAAGAAAACAGTTCTTTTCTGCCTATGTTATGTGAACAGATGTGAACAAAGAAGTAGGTCAAACTATGGGCGTAGTGATCCCAACTGGCTGTGTCTCTTTCATGACAAGGGAACAGTGGAGCTGTGCACGTTTCCACCAGCTGAACTGCAAAGAGGAAAAAACACCAAGTGCCTTGGAAATGGGAGGGTGGCAGGGGAGATACCAGCGGGACAAGGGTGCCAGTGCCTGCTTAAACATCAGAGAGAGCAGGAGAGGAAAGGTGGTACCAACGGCAGAGGTCCTTCCTGAGTCTAAAAACGGCTTCTTTTCCCCATTGATGGGGATTCCAGTTACAAATCTAAAGAAACAGGTGCTGTTGCCATGAAGTAAGACACAGGATGGACTTGACAGGGATGTCCAGGGATGACAGTGGGGAGGGAAGGGAAATGGAGGAGGATTCAAAGTTATATCCAGGCCAAAGTCCATTCAGGAATTATTCAGGGATCGGGCTGGCGCCGTGGCTCACTTGGCTAATCCTCCACCTGCGGCACCAGCACCCCGGGTTCTAGGCCTGATTGGGGCGCTGGATTCTGTCCTGGTTGTTCCTCTTCTAGTCCAGCTCTCTGCTGTGGCTCAGGAGGGCAGCGGAAGATGGCCCAAGTGCTTGGGCCCTGCACCTGCATGGGAGACCGGGAGGAAGCACCCAGCTCCTGGCTTCAGATCGCCGGCTGTGGCGGCCATTAGCGGAGTGAACCAACGGAAGGAAGACTTTTCTCTCTATCTCTCTCTCGCTATCTATAACTCTACCTGTCAAATAAAAAAAATAAATAAAATTTTAAAAAAGAGAGGGTTTGAGAACAGAACCCAGAAGCCAGTGTTGTGGCACAATGGGTTGAGCCACTGCCGGCAACACCAGCATCCATACGGATACTGGTTCAAGTCCCAGCTGTTCCATTTCCAATCCTACTCCCTGCAAATGCACCTAGGAAGCAGTGGAAGATGGCCCAGGTGCTTGGACCACTGTCACCCATGTGGGAGACCAGAATGGAATTCCTGGTTCCTGGCTTTGGCTTGGCCTAGCCCTGGGCACTGTAGCTACTGGGGAATGAAATAGCAGTTGGGGGATCTCGACCTCTCTCTCTCTCTCTCTCTCAACTCTGCTTTTCAAATAAACAAATCTTTAAAAATTAATAAATTGGGGCCAGCGCCGCGGCTCAATAGGCTAATCCTCCACCTAGCAGCGCCAGCACACCAGGTTCTAGTCCCGGTCGGGGCGCCGGTTTCTGTCCCGGTTGCCCCTCTTCCAGGCCAGCTCTCTGCTGTGGCCAGGGAGTGCAGTGGAGGATGGCCCAAGTGCTTGGGCCCTGCACCCCATGGGAGACCAGGAGAAGCACCTGGCTCCTGCCTTCGGATCAGTGTGGTGCTCCGGCCGCAGCGCGCCAGCTGTGGCGGCCATTGGAGGGTGAACCAACGGCAAAAGGAAGACCTTTCTCTCTGTCTCTCTATCTACTCTGCCTGTCAAAAAAAAAAAAAAATTAATAAATTGGGGCCGGCGCTGTGGTGTAGGGGTTAACGCCCTGGCCTAAAGCTCCAGCATCCCATATGGGTGCCAGTTCAAGACCTGCCTGCTCCACTTCTGATCCAGCTCTCTGCTGTGGCCTGGGAAAGCAGAAGATGGCCCAAAGGCTTAGGTCCCTGCACCCATGTGGGAGACCTGGAAGAAGCTCCTGGCTTTGGACCAGCCCAGCTCTGGGCTGATCTGCAACCACCTGGAGCATGAACCAGCAGATGGAAGCTCTCTCTGCCTCTCACTAGCTCTGCCTTTCAAATAAATAAATAAATATATCTTAAAAACAAAACAAAACAAAACAAACAAACAAAAAAAAACCAGCATGGACCTGTCTTTAAGCCCAGGTGTTTGGAGATGTGCAAAGGTCCCTGGGCAGCCACAGTCCTGGAAGTTGCAGGGAAATCAGCTCCACCCTGGCAACTCTAAGGCACTGTCCCCAGCAGTGGTCTGGACACTGTCTGCACTCTGTGTGTAGGTTGTCATCAGAGATTCCAAGACTTCTCTGTCATCCTGACAGCTAATACACGTATGTCCCTCACATATGGGGCTCTATTTTCTGGTCCTGGGAAATCATTTGGGAGGGAGCTTGTGGGGGACATGTGGCAGAAGCTTCCAATGTGGCTGCATCAGCTTGTGCCGAGGGCAGGCCTGACACCCTGTAGGTTCTTCTGCCTGGGCCTGACTGGTGGCCTGGCATTCCAGCCTTGACCTTCATTCCTTGTATTTAAGGCATTCCCCAGCCTCCCCTAACTTAGAAGGACAACTCTCCCATTGGAAGGACAGCAACTGAGCTGAGCTCACTGCATCACATTTGGTGTGATCTGGATGGCGTTTATCTTCCTCAGCTGACATCAGAATACAGAAGAAAGGTGACTGACAAGAGGAGAGGGTAGGATATGAGCTGACTCAAGCCCAACAAGACAGACTGACACCCTAGACTGCAGGCCTGGCTCACCACCTCCTTGACGTCGGGTGATGGCCTCTGTCTCTATCAGCTCTGCTTCCTAATCTAACTGGGCTCACAAACTGGGGTGATACCATTCAGTGGAAAGGGATTCGTGGAGCTTCTTTATAAACCGAGGGGCACTGTGCAAGAGCTGATCACTCATCAGCTCCCTGGGCAACAAGCGGAAGGAGTCGATTCTTGGGAAAAGACACAGAAGCAGGTAGACAAAGGGCGTGGATGTGCCATTCATGGTAGGAGATGGACTCCAAATTTAAGTTACAAACGTGAGGCTGTGAGAAGTCGTTCTGGCTTGCCTGGCACCCTAGAGCTGAAGGGAAGAACATGGGATGGGATAAGCGTGGACTTCATTCTGAGCCTTCCGCTAGCTGGCTAGGTGGCGTGGAGTGAATGACTTAGCCTTTCTGTATCCTCATTTTTGAGACAAGGGCAGGTGGTAGAGGTGCCAGCCTCTGGTGGACATTGTGAGGATGACATATGCCAAAGGAACATGACTTCTGATGTGCTTTGTAAAGTGCCTGTCACTCAGATGCTCTCCGAAATGAACCAGTATTATCCAGACAGCTCAGCACCAGCACACAGCAAGTCAAAGGATCAGCTCTCTCTAAGTCCACAGACATAAAGCTGAGGGGGTGACTGGGAGCAGAAACACTTCCTGCTTGATGGCCCCTCCCACATCACACTTCTGTTGCTATGAGAAACCAAACAAGTTCCCCTATGCAGGGGGGCTGAAGGAGTTCCAGCCTGGTAGGGTGTTGGGGGCAGCCCAGAGCAAGCATCCTAATTGACCCCCCTCCTCCCCCGACCCAGGGGCTCTCCTGGAGATCTGCTTGATGGCATCCCAGCTCCCTGCCTCATCAGACAGCCCAGTGTGACTGGAGACTCAAGGTCATCAAGCCCATCTGTCACCTGCTTTCACACCCAAATGAGTAAAAGTTCAAGCCAGGAAGGTAATCATTGTTCACCCTCCTGTTACCTCCTTCGGCGTATCTGCTTGTGTACCCAAATTTTACTACACCTCTCAGAGAGAGTGGGATTGATTTATTCTGACATAAATCTGCACATTAGGATGTTTCTGTATGTGTCAAACGCAAGGCTGGTGGGAAGGCTGCTCCCACACACTTGACTATCTTGTGTGAAGGCCTCTGGTGGGTGGGCCCAGCACCAGGTGTTACACCCATCCTATCTCATGTATGGACAAGACGCGCCAACCTATTCTTTGCATTTGAGATTTGATGCTGGCAGGCATGCGTGAGGTTGGTTTTAAAATGGGCCTTCGAGGTTGAATGTTGGCCATTCCCTGCTATGGTCCTCACTAACAGTCCCCACTGCCCCACGGCGTGAATTCAGCGAGAGCTGCCACAGCACGAGACTGTCAGGGTGCATTCCACGCTGGGGCACCCACGCCTGACAGGCAGGTATTAAGACACCCAAGAGGAAACCAGCTCTGCACCCAAATGTGAACAGAACCACAGTACAAAAAGAGGCCCCAGTGAAACCCTGCAATTCAAGAAACGGCCCGAGAAGCTGAGCTCCTCTCCCTACTTCCCCTTCCTCACTCCCACCCTCCCAGGGCAACCTCCTTACCCTCAATGTTATTTTAGGAAACTTCAACCAAAATAATCACAGCAAACAGAAATAAAAAGCAGCAATAGTAGCAAGAAACTCTTATCTTTGCAACTAAGAACAAACTCATTTGCCTATATGGCTTGCTCCTATATATGCATAGTAACCAAAAGGCCTCTATAGTGGTCATTTTAAAATTTTGAAATACCTCACAATGCAGATGCGACATTTCAACAAGTACTGTGCTGTTTTATCTTTAAACACAATTCTTTTCTGTATTTTTCCCAATTCACCTAGTATCATTTTTAAAGTATTTATTTATTTGAAAGAGTTACACAGAAAGGAAGACACATATACACAAAAGACAGGAGAGAGGGAGAGAGAGAGGGAAAGAAAGAGAGAGAGACCCGGGCTGGCCAAGGCTGAAGCCAGGAGCCAGAAGCTCCTTCCAAGTCTCCCACATGGGTACAGGAGCCCAAGTACTTGCGCCATCTTCCACTGCTTTCCCAGGCGCATTAGCAGGGAGTTGGATTGGAAGAGGAGCAGCCGGGACTTGAACCGATGCCCACATGAGATACCGATATCACAGACAGTGGCTTTACCTGCTATGCCATATCATTTTTCAAACAGGAATTACTTTGTCTTTGTTGGAAGACCTGTACAAGATGCTACAAATGCTAACAAGAGATGGATATGGTTGATATTTAAGCTGTCATAATTATACTTCAAGAATTAACTATTCAGGCGCCAATGTGGAGGTTAAGCAACTGCCTGCATCCTATATGGATGGTGGTTCAACTCCCGACTGCTCCACTTCTGATCCAGCTCCCTGCTATGCACCTGGCAAAGCAGTAGAAGATGGCCCAAGTACTTGGGCCCAAGCCACCCGGAAAAAGCTCCTGAGAGACCCAGAAGTGGCTCCTGACTCCTGGCTTCGGCCTGGCTCAGCTCTGGCTATTGAGGTCATTTCATTTGGGAAGTGAACTGGAGGATGAAAGATCTCTCTCTCTGTGTTTCTTCCCAGCCCCAGCTCTGACTTTCAAATAAATAAATAATTTTTTTTAAAGTTAACTATTCAAAGGTTAACTCTTTAGACATACTTGCTTCCACTGACAAGGGGTTGGCCAGCAATACAGCTCTTGAAGATCCCCTTGGAATTAAAGTCCTCTGAGTCCCAACTGAATTAAGACTACAGACTATTTACCAGAGAAATAAATCAGCCCTCAGGGGCTGGGAGGGGGACTGGGTGCCTTGATGGTTGGATGTGTACTGGTGCTAGATGTCCATCAGATTTGAACTCAAGGCACTGAGCAAGAACCATGTCCTTTTTGGGGGTAGAAGTGTATGCTAAGACATTATGGGAGCTGGTGCTGTAGTGTTGTGAGTAAAGCCGCAGCCTGTGGGGCTGACATCCCATATGGGCGCCAGTTCAAGTCCCAGCTGCTCCACTTCCAATCCAGCTCCCTGTTAGTGGCCTGGAAAAGCAGCTGAAGATAGCCTAAGTATTTGGGCCCCTGCACCCATAAAAGAGACCAAGAAGAAACTCCTGGCTTCCAGCTTCAGACTGGCGTAGTTCCAGCCATTGTGGCCATATGGGGAGTGAACCAGTGGGTGGAAGATTTCTCTCTGTCTCTCCTTCCCTTTCTACCTGACTTTCAAATATATATATATATATATATATATATATACACACACACACATATTTAAAAGAAAAAGCCAATATGAAGTTCCTATGAAATGGATAAACCCTGAGAAGATTTCACTGTCATATACGAGTCGCATTTAAATTCCTGAGCAGCTGAGATGTAAGCCCAGGACCCTTCGTTCCCCAACACGCTGACCGCTGTCCCTCCAGGGCAGACACAGTTCTGTCTGGCCCAGCCACAACGCACTCCGGTTTCCACTGAAAATCATAATCTTTTTCTACTGATAAACTGACCCCAAGTGCTTTCCTTTGGAATAGCCAGAGCAGGGTTTGCTTTTTACTTGTTTATTTTTACCTTCCGTGCTGGGTTTTTTCATTTCTTCCACTCTTATTAGTTTCTTTCTGACTCTGCGAGTGGAGTTTACCAGCTTGTGTAACCTCTTAAACTTCACCGACTCCTCGGTCTCATCATCCGATTGTTCTCTTGACTGGCAAAGAAACAAAGGAAAAGTGAATCAGATAATTGCTCCAAAGCTCAGCTCTCGCAGCTGGGCGTAGCTGCTCATTGCCAGCAGTGCTGCCGCTGAACTTGAGACAGCCATGGCTTCGCCCAACAGGTTTACAAAGCCCCGCATACCATCCCGCGGCCTCGCTCGGTGGAGAGTTAGGTCCCAGGCACTGCAACACACACTTCTCTGTCCCTGCTCAGGAGGCGGCCAGCAGGACTCTGTCCCCAAGGCCGGCCCTGTTATTCCAGTTACACGCTGTGTGGTTTGGGCCAGGCTCTCCTCTGTCTGGCCCATCACGACTTGCTGTTGAACGTGGTCACCAATGACTTCTCCAAACCAAAATTCAGTTGACTTTTTCCAGTCCTCCCCTGAAAATCAAAACCAGCAGGGCCGGCGAGGGGAAGCAACACAAAAAGCCTTCTTCTCCCGGAAGTGTGAGAACGCACGACCACATCCCGGCGTCCCCTCTCCTCCCGAGCATGAGGACGGAGACACAAGGGAAAAAGCTGACCTTTGCAGCCATACAGTACAGTCCATATTCCCCAGAAGCTCATTCCGTTTTGCAGTGACTCAAGCATGCTCAGGCCCAGCTGTTTTCCCTCAAGTATCAAACATTACAGAGAGGGGGAAAAATTCTCCCTCCACAGCAGTGACCCAGGCTAAAAACAATCCTTTCCTTGTGAACCAAATGATGGTTTCGTTTCCAAGTCAGCTCCAACGTTCAATGTGCAGCTTCCTCTGCTGTCTCGGTTCAAAACGTGGAGAAGCAAGGAGGGCGCTCGACAGAGGAGCAGGCCTCACTCACGGGCCAGGGGCTGCGGCGGTCATGGGAGCACACAGCTTTGGCACAGCCAATGCAACGCGTGACCGTTCCAATTAATCCTGCACATCCTCACGGCGACTTTCTCCTGGTGTCCTCGAGCCCAGTTCACGAAGCAGTAGGGAGAGAAATGCCACAAACCACAGAGCTGAACACAAGGCTAACAGGGAGACTTCTGCCCCCAAGAGAAGCACTCATTAATCCCAACTTTGGAGACAATGAAATAGCTAAGGGAAAGGTAGCAGACCAACTCAAGAGAAGAGGCAAATATGACATGCATTTCTTGGGCAAAAAGATGGTGCACGTTGTGAGTCCACAGATATGTTCTTAGCACCTTGGAACTCTGTAAGGGAGCCTGTGGTCCTTAGCCAGGATTCCACAGCAAGGAGTCACTGGGCTTCCTTCTCGGATGACTCTAAGCCCACAAGTCACCTGCTAAGCATTAACTAGAAGAACTCGATCACCAGCAAGTCATCAGCACAGGGGTATTTCTCAGTCTCTTCATCTAGAAGTGTCTCAATATCTATGTCCAATTTTCCTAAACTTCCTAGATAAAATGTTGCATGCAGATTTGCAAATAAAGTTAACTCTCGGTTACCTGGCAACGAAGACTACCAACTGGATCCTCAGGTCAAGGAGGAGGAGGTTACATTGGATGCACAACTAAGCTTAATATGTGTGGCCTCAAACTTAAAATGTAAAAATATTAACATAAAGCATAGCTTCAGAGTCAGAATCTCATCATTACTTGGTTGCACGGCTGATGTGTGGTGAAATGGTCAGAGTGGTCAGCCAGAGGAATGAACTGGGTTAACCCTCCTCCCGGCTAATCAGCACCTGAATAACCCACAGTGCATAGAGTTACATACAAACATTCAAAAACATTCTGCCCTCGTGATGTAGCTCAGAAGCCAGGCAATCCCAATAGAAGGAGGAGGAACCTTATATTACAGAACGCCTTAGAAATACCAATGGGACAAACCTAGAATATGCCTTCAACCTTCACACTGAAACCAAGTGAAAACAAAATAAGTACAGACTATAATCAAGATACAGGAGACTCAATTACAGGGTGAGACATAGAGAGAGAGAGAGATAGATGACAAACACACACACACATCAAATCTAGTTTGTTGCTGGCTGTTGTTGGCGATGGTGTGGTGTTGTACTGTGCATGTACAGCATGCATGTGTGACAGGGGAAGTAAAAAGATAAATGGATATAGAAAGCAGCAATACAAAAATTCCAGTCCACAAAGACACAAATCCTATGTAGGAAAGGCACATGAGAGTGAACAAGAGGGAGGAATTAAGATAGTCCAACCACAACAACAGATGTAAGGGCAATGCCCCTCTCACAAGTCCAACTTTCCTCTGCCCAGATTCAATTATTTAATTGCTTTCACACGTTCCAACTCTTTTCGAGAAACGTGAGCTCTTCAGAACTCTGAACTGAGGCTATTTTCATTTCTTCTGTAAAACATGGAGTTTCTGGAGGTGTCTGTCATCGACAAATCACAAACCATGGCAACCAAGCACATCCTTTGCACTATTGTGTTTTGGACGCTAGACAAAGATAGATGTAGAACAAGTTATCTGAAGAAAAATGTTAGATAAAATACAAGTCATTAAAGAAATACGATGTGTGTTTATATATTTCAAATAGAAAATTTCCTCTTCAGCCAGCATAGAAATTGCTCGAGATCAAGTTCAATAACATAACCCAAGGACGCTTTTACTCAAGAAGAGGTGCTGACTTCTCACTTCCTCCTGAGTCCAGAGGAAAAAGTTGTGAAATATTTGCCTTTAAAAAATTCTCTCCAGCTGTTTTAACATACAGATGCCGTGAAAAAGCTGCCTTTCTCCTAAACTGGGGAATAAAACTTAAATTCCTCATGTCACATTTCTCATTTGAAATAAACATGTACAGCTTCCCAAGTGCTCAAATAACATAATATGTCCTTTGATTTGGGAAACACACAACCAGGGATGGGGTTAGTGAATTTCTTAAATTAAGAAACATTTTATATTATGTATAATTTTTAAGTTAAATTATTCTATATATGCATATACCTCATGTATATTATATTATATATTATAATGTATATACATATAGAGGGGAGCATTTGATCTAGTGGTTAAGTTCCTCATTAAGATACCTAAGTCTGGGGCCAGCACCACAGTGCAGCAGGTTAAGCCATCGCCTGTGACGCCAGCATCCCATGTGAGTGTCACTTCCAATGCTGCTCCCTGCTAACTGTGGCTAGGAAAGCAGTGGATGAGGGCCCGAGCGCTTGGGGTCTTGCCAATCATGTGTTAGATGCAGATGGAGTTTCAGGCTCCTGGCTTTGGCCTGGCCCAGCACAGGCCATTGTGGTCACTTGGGGAGTGAATCAGCAGATAAAATTTCCCCACCCCCTTTCTCTTTGTAACTCTGTCTTTTGAACAAATAAGTCTTTAAAGAAAAAATTTACCTAAGCCCCACACTGCAGTACCTAACCCTAGTTCCTGACTTCGCCTCCGGCTTATGCAGACCCTAGGAGGCAGCAGTGATGGCCCAAGTAGCTAGGGTATTTCCACCCCTGTGGGAGGCCTGGATGGAGCGCCCAGTTCCAGGCTTTGACTCCTGGCTGTGGCAGGCATTTGGTAAGTGAACCAGTAGATATGAGCTCTCTTGGTCTCTCTGCCTCTCAAATTAAAAAAAAAAAAATACAAATTAAATGGAAAACAAAACACTACACATTTAAAAGAAATCGTCCCTCCTGAAGGAACTTTGTGGAACACAAAGGAAATTGACAGTGTAAATAAATGATTGACTCCAAGAAATAAGCCCAGACTATTAAAGAGCAAGTTTTAGGCTGGCACCGTGGCTCACTTGGCTAATCCTCCACCTGTGGCGCCAGTACACCGGGTTCTAGTCCCAGTTGCTCCTCTTCCAGTCCAGCTCTCTGCTGTGGCCCGGGAAGGCAGTGGAGGATGGCCCAAGTGCTTGGGCCCTGCACCCGCATGGGAGACCAGGAGGAAGCACCTGGCTCCTGGCTTCAGATCAACGCGGTGTGCCAGCCCTGGCAGCCATTTGGGGGGTAAACCAACGGAAGGAAGACCTTTCTCTCTGTCTCTGTCTCTCTCTCACTGTCTAACTCTGCCTGTCCAAAAAAAAAAAAGAAAAGAAAGAAAGAAAAAAAAAGTGCAAGTTTTAAAGAAACCAAAGGAAAAAAGTGTATGTTCACACATACTCAAATGTGGGGTTTTGCCCCCCCCATTCTGCCCTACGCCAGAGTTTACTAAAGTTGACCAAAACCAACTTTAATTTGATCATCTCCTAAATGAGAGGTGAAGTCCATCATGTGTGTAACCCCCAACTCAGGAGCCCAAATAAAAGAGAAGCAGCTCATCCCACCAGAGGAAGTGGAAAAGTGGAGTTACAACCTTGTAAATAGAAACATTTGACTTCCAGCGTCTCCTGCAGATTTTTCCACCAGAAAGCCCATATGGCTCAACTTTTAATGACTTTGGCTAAAGCTATATGTAGTAATTCTGTGGTGAATGCTTAAGTGTTTCATTTCTGGTCTCCATAGCAACATTACATCAGATCACAGACAGCTGGCTCCACAGTTTTAAACCATAACAAATTGACCCAGCCAAGGCACAAAACTATAGCTGCTTTAAAGAGATAGCGTACCACTTGGCTGCTGGGCGCTGAATGGGGACCTTGGGGGCCCGTTTGGCACGCACGGGAGGGTGGAGCCTCTTTCCTTCCCAGCTTCTTTTGGAACAAGTGCATCCTTGACACATCTGGGATGTTCTAATAGGAAAGCCACGGAGCCAGCGTGGAGAACTTTTTACAACACAGCCACATGCAGGATGATGGGAAAAAAGGAACCAAATGGATCGCGTCTGTAAACAAGAAGATCAGTGCACCGGAATACACTGAAAACATCTGCTTAATGCTAACGTAAACCCCGCGCTGCTGGCGGGACCCCGGCTTCACTGGATCCCATTAACAAGCAGTTCCTGCAACTATGACACACAGAACAAACACTTCCCAGAGCCACATGACACAGGCTTGCAGGCACAGTAGTAATGTACTGGGCTAAAAGCTACACCAAACTTGCAAGGCCCAGGTAGATCTCATTGGGGACCTCTCGACCATGCTGAGC